TTTCAAATAGTGCAGCAATTAACAGTACCATTACTCAGACTTATAGACTATTAGCTGGCCATGGCACATTGCAAGTAAAGATGAAGCATTTCTTTCTTTCTTTTTCTTTCTCTCTCTCTTTCTTTCCTTCCTTTTCTTTCTTGTGCTGGTGTTGGGGCTTGAACTCAAGGCCAAGGCACTGTCCTAAGCTTTCTTACTCAAGACTAGCACTCTACCACTTGAACCACAGCTCTACTTCTGGCATTTTTTTGCGGGGGAGAGGATGCTTAGTTGGAGGTAAGAGTCTCACAGAGTTTCCTGCTAAGGCTGGATTCAAACCTCAATTCTCAGATCTCAGCCTCCTGAGTAGCTAGAATTGCAAGCGTGGTTACCAATGAAGCATTTCTTTTTAAGCATTTGAGGTGAAGAGCTAGCCCCGTGCCAGAGAAGCAGCCCAGGGGTGAGTTTGAGGAGATGAAAGTGGCTTGATCTATATTAGGGTATGGGTTATGGTACCTAAGTTCCATCCTATGTACCTAATCCCACCAGGAGAAAAGGAGCTCAGGCATCCATGGAGGACTGAACCAGGATCCTACCTCTGATAGTGTATCCCACCCAATCAGAGGGGCTTCAAATAGTGCAGCAATTAACAGTACCATTACTCAGACTTATAGACTATTAGCTGGCCATGGCACATTGCAAGTAAAGATGAAGCATTTCTTTCTTTCTTTTTCTTTCTCTCTCTCTTTCCTTCCTTTTCTTTCTTGTGCTGGTGTTGGGGCTTGAACTCAAGGCCAAGGCACTGTCCTAAGCTTTCTTACTCAAGACTAGCACTCTACCACTTGAACCACAGCTCTACTTCTGGCATTTTTTTGCGGGGGAGAGGATGCTTAGTTGGAGGTAAGAGTCTCACAGAGTTTCCTGCTAAGGCTGGATTCAAACCTCAATTCTCAGATCTCAGCCTCCTGAGTAGCTAGAATTGCAAGCGTGGTTACCAATGAAGCATTTCTTTTTAAGCATTTGAGGTGAAGAGCTAGCCCCGTGCCAGAGAAGCAGCCCAGGGGTGAGTTTGAGGAGATGAAAGTGGCTTGATCTATATTAGGGTATGGGTTATGGTACCTAAGTTCCATCCTATGTACCTAATCCCACCAGGAGAAAAGGAGCTCAGGCATCCATGGAGGACTGAACCAGGATCCTACCTCTGATAGTGTATCCCACCCAATCAGAGGGGCTCCAAACTCAAGGTGTGACTCACAAATTGGAAGATACTGTCAGCTTTGAGATGTCTCCTGAAGTAAAGTCTGGATGTGAGAAGAGGAGGCACATGGGAGAACTTAACCACTGGAACTGAAAATCTTTCCACAAGTCAGAAAGAATCCTGCAGGGGATAGATGATGTCATCTGAGGAGCCCTTAAGAAGACTTGAAAGTAAAAGTGTCAGAAGAGAGGTACAAAGACTCACCCAGTCTCCTGCCGCCTCTTCTGCTATGGGAAGTGGAGATATGGAAGAGAGAGGACAAATAGGCTCTTCACTTTAATGGTGTGTAGTGATGTAGAAACAGTGCACAGAAAATAGTATCTCCGTAGGGACCACTGTGATGTAGTAGATTCTGGAATTACAGTTTGTGTGTGTATGTACTAGTACTGAGTCTTGAACTCAGGGGCCATTAGTTTTTTTCACTCAAGGCTCTACCACTTGAGCCACAGCTACAGTTCCAGCTTTTTTATGGTTTATTGGAAATATCTTAGGGGCTTTCCTGCCCAGGCTGGCTTCAAACTGTGATTCTCAGATCTCAGCCTCTTGAGTAGCTAGGATTACTACAGGCATGAGTCACCAGCAGCCAGTTCATACATTGTTAAAAGCTTACCAAGACAGAGGAACAGGAGAAACAAGGGATATTAGGATGCATTAATGAGCAATTAATAGACTGCTGGACAGAGGGTATGCTGTGCTGCTGCTGCTGTCGTCCCTATTCCTGCTCTGATAAAGCTTTGGGGACAGGATTTTATACAGTTTACTTAGGACTTCACAGATTGGCTGCTTCTTTCTCAGGGGGTTTGTTAATTGGTTGTTTCTTCCTCAGATTATGGTTTGAATTTTGTTTGCATGGGAATACCTTGTGAGTTTGGCTTCCGGATTCCACTTGACCCATTGTACATACCTGACTCCCTTCCACGTTCTAACTGATCCATTGTCTGTGCTTGACGTGTTTCTGCATTCCAGCTGGTTCATTTTGAGCACTCAGCCCCTATTTCTACATTTTGCTGGGCCACTGGTGTTTTATAATGCCTCCTTAAGAGAGGGGCTTTGCAGGATGTTGGTGGCTCACACCTATAATCCTAGCTACTTAGGAAGCTAAGATCTGAGGGTTGAGGTTCAAAGCCAGACCAGGTGGGAAAGTCTATGAGATTCTTTTTTTTTTTTTGGTTCTGGTCGTAGGGCCTGAACTCTGGGCCTGAGCGCCATCCCTCAACTCTTCACCTCAAGGCTAGCACTCTACCACTTGACCCACAGCGCCACTTCCGTTTTTTTTTTCTGCTTATGTGGTGCTGAGGAATCGAACCCAGGGCCTCATGCATGCAAGGCAAGTGCTCTACCACTGAGCCACCTTCCCAGCCCCAAGTCTATGAGATTCTTATCTCTAATCACACCCCTCCCTTCCAAAAAGCTGGAAATGGGACTGTGGCATAAGTGGTAAAGTGCTAGCCTTAAGCAAAAGAAGTTCAGGGACAACTCTTAGGACATGAGTTCAAGACCCAGGACTGGCATGAAAGAGAGAGGTGGGGGAGAGGAGCTTTTCTACTCACATACGGTTTATGTTAACCTGAGGATGCCCATTGTCCTGGTGCTGTGTCTATCACAGCTGCCAGGGCTGTTCCTGAGATGCCTGGTGGAAGAGGCATTCCTGGCTGGAAGAGATCCTCTGAGTGTTCAACTTTATGCATGAACATATGAGCAGAGGACTGCAAAGGGGCTACATAGCCTCATAGAAAATAAAATGTAAGTCAAAAGCAATACTTACACAATCAAAGGGTTTCCAGACTCCCCTTGTCCCCTCCCCCCAAAAAAGGAAAGGAATCTTAGGCTGGCACTAATGGTTCAAGCTTGTAATCTTGGTCTTTGTATGTACAGATTACCTCTGAACTGACATTTCTTTGACACTTGGGTTGCCCACATCTTTGCCTTATTTTCCCATGGGCTCATGCAGAGTTCTAAGAGCAGTTAGAAGAGCAGCCGGTGATCAGTGCTCAACAACCAAGATGTATTGTACTCATAAACTGACATGTTGAATTGGAATCTCTTTGTACAAGTACCTGAAGATAATTTTTAAAATAAAAGTTAAAAAAAGAAGAGCAAGCCAAGTGTCTTCTAAGATGTCTTTTGAGCATACGAGCACCCTGGCAGGTACAGTGCTGTCTGGATTCTCTGGTTTGCAGACTCCAGTGGGTCAGAGCTCTCCTCATTCTCCTGTTACCTTCCTCCTCTGCCTCCTTCCTGGGTGTTGGAAAGTGCACCCTGCTTGCTTCATGTTCTTCCACTACATGGCAGCTGTGAAGGCCCAAAGATAGTATCTTTAAATACTTTTAACTAAGCATTGCTGAGGCACTTGCCTCAGCCTGAAGAGATAGGAAAAAAGGAATATTCCCTCCCCCCCCCAGGTATATCCATCATAAAACCATCAAGTCAGATAAAAATGGACAGAAACTATTCGAGAAGAATATTCTTTTTTTTTGTTTTTTGTTTTTAAAATAATGTCTTTCATTTATGCCCAGACCACACTGGACTATGATTCTCCAGGTTTCACTTCCCATATAACTAGGATGACCAACACCTGTCACTGTGCCCAGATTTTATTGAGATGAGGGCATTGCAAATGTTTTGCCCAGATTGGCAAACTGAAAGCAAAATAACTAAAAAATTTAAACTGGAACAATGATCCTCCCAATTCTGAGTGTCTATGTTTTTATTTTTAAGGCTGTGGCAAATAGGACGTACTTCTGAATTCTTTTTCCAGTAAGTTTGTTGGTAGTTTACAGAAAAGTTATTTTTAATATGTAGATTATTTTATCTAGCTACTTTGTTGAAAAGTATATATCAAAGCAAGAGCTTTCAGATGGAATAAATGTAGAATCATGTTGTCTGAAATAGGGATAATTTGAGGCTTTCCTGTCTTTAATTTGGTTCTCTTATTATTTTACTTTCTTTATGTTCTATCACTTGACTTTATAACCCAGTTAAACTTTGATCCTCATAGCTCATATATGTTATTTGAGGTTTCCAAAAACTTGCCAGTTACCATGCACCTATGCCATTGCCTGTTAATTGTCCATTATTCCTAACATTTACATTAGCCAGTTTGGCAAGTTAGTAAGAATCTGATACTTCAAAGCACAAACAATCTCTTAGCATTTGCAGCTTTCTGGTATCATGTCCTAGTACCTGGTGCATATTGCCATAAGACATGTACATCTTTGCCTCTGTCAAAGAGTACATTTTTGATAACAGGAAGGGTTATTTTTACCCATTTTTGCACCTGTAACAGAGTTGCATGCACAGAGTACAGCAAATATGAATTGAACTGATGGCAGTGCATAAAGTAGGGTTCAGAGTTCAAAGCTTATACTGACTGTCCAGGATAAATGTCAATGCATTAAGAGTTAGTTTAATGTGTCTCTCCAAAGGTACTCGTGTGTGTATATGTATGTGTGGGTACCCTGTGCGAAGGTGTGTGTGTGTGTGTATCAATCCTGGGACTAGAACTCAGGGCCTGAGTGCTGCCCCTGACCTTTTTATCTCAAGGCTAGCATTCTACTACTTGAGCCACAGCTCTACTTCTGGCTTTTTGGTGGTTAATTGGAGGAGAGTGTTACACACTTTCCTGCCTAGGCTGGCTTTGAACTGTGATTCTCAGATCTTAGCCTCCTGAGTAGCTAGGATTACAGACATGAGCCACCACTGTGTAGCTTTCAGTGGTACTCTTTTCTGATTAGTTCAGACTGAACAGAAGTTGTTGTTCTAGGGGCCTGTGACATTAAAGGATATTACTGTGGAGTTCAGCAAGGAGGAGTGGAAATTATTGACTCCTGCTCAGAAGACCCTTTACAAGGATGTTACACTGGACAACTATAATCTCCTGGTCTCTGTGGGTAAGAAACACATCATGTATAACTCCACATAGTTTGGATTACTTTTCCTAATTGCTGGGATATGTGAGGTTCCTCTATGATTGAATGATATCAACTTGACTTCAGCAGGAAGTCAAAATCAATGAATTCAGTCTGGGCACCAGAAAAATATCTGTGTCCCATTTTATTGAAAGAATCCATGATGATGATGGTGGTGATGGTGATGATGGTGGTGGTAGTGATGGTGGTAGTCGTTGTGGTGGTGGTAGTGGTGATGATAAAAAGCAGGACCCTGATGGTAAAGAAAGGCTGTCTCAGGGAGATTATTAAGAGGGGAAAAAGTAGTAGGAACTGAATAAAATACATTATATATATATATATATATATATATATATATATATATATTTCTTAAGATAGCATAACAAGACAGGCACTGTGGCTTGTATCTATAATCCCAGCCACTCAGGAGACTAAGATCTGAGGTTGCTATTCAAAGCCAGCCCAGGCAGAAAACTCCATGAGACTCCTATATCCAATTAACCAGCAAAAAGTTTGGGGTGGAGGTGTGACTCAAATTTTAGAGCACCAGCCTTGAGTGAAAAAATCTAAAGGACAATGCCTGAGTTCAAGCCTAGTACAGGCACACATGAAAAAAGATAGCATAAAGAAACACACAAAACTGCACTTATAAACGGGGGAAGGATGGGAATTAAGGGTATATAATAGAAGGGGTAAATTTGTGCAAAGAACAATGTACATCTGTGAAAATGCACAATGAGGCCCTCTGGTATAAGCAAGGGAAGGAAGAAAGAAACAAGGAAAGAAAGAAGGAAGAGAAAGAGAAAAGAGAGGGAAAGGGAGAAAAGGTTGGAAGATTGATTCTAAATATGCCAAATCTAAGTATGATCTTCAACTTGCCAAAACTATACTTACTCTTCAAGCAATTTGTATTATTTCCTTTATGTTTTCTATTAATAGGCTATCGTGTGAGTAAGCCAGCTATAGTTCTTAAACTGAAGCAAGGGAAAGACCCATGGAGCTTAGAAGTTGAATGTCCACGTCGAAAGCATACTGGTGAGTCAGAAAATTCCATTTCATGGGGCTGGGAAGTTGACTCAGTGGTAAAGCGCTTGCCTTGCATGCCTGAGGCCCTGGGTTCGATTCCTCAGCACCACATAAGCAAAAAGAAAAAAGCCGGAAGTGGTGCTGTGGCTCAAGTGGTAGAGCACTAGCCTTGAGCTGAAGAGCTGAGGGACAGCGCCCCGGCCCAGAGTTCAGGCCCCGCGACCGGACCCAAAAAAAAAAAAAAGAAAATTCCATTTCATGTTAATAATGAGGCAGTGGATGCATCTTGTCCTTTGACATAGCTTTCAAGAATCTCTCTAGATTCACTCTACTGAAGAAATTATGAACAGACACTTACTCACTCCTATAATCCTAGCTACTTAGGAGACTGAGATCTAAGGATCCTGGTTTTAAGCCTGGTAGGCAGTAAAGTCTATGTGACTCTTTTCTCCAAAATAAATTGGAAAGCAAAATATTGGAAGTGGAGAGCTGGGTGCTAGTGGCTCTCTCCTGTAATCCTAGCTACTCTGGAGGCTGAGATCTAAGGATCACAGTTCAAGGCAGGAACGTCCATGAGACTCTTACCTCCAATTAACTAGCACAAAGATGGAAAAGGAGCTGTGGCTACAGTGGTAGAGTGCCAGCCTTGAGCAGAAACACTGAGCAAGAACATGAATCTTAAGTTCAAGCTTCTGTATATGCACACAAACACACACATATACACATGAACAAATCCTGATTTTAATGGTGAAAACACCTCACACTGACCTGTCCAGCATCTTTATCCTATTATGTATTCTGGTCTCATATTTTACCTTTGCATTTCATTCCTTCTTAATGTCAAAATAAAAGATACAAGGTCTAGATTGTTGTTAAAAGAGAAAGGTGACTTACATCTGTAATCCTAGCTACTCAGGAGGCTGAGCTGAGGATTGAGATTTGAAGCCAGCCCAATCAGGAAGGTCTGGGTGACTCTTATCTCCAATTAAGCACCAAAAACCCCAGAAGTGTAGTTGTGGCTCAAGTGGTAGAACACTAATCTTGAGCAAAAAATCTAAGGGACAATGTCCCAGGACTGGCACCCAATATAAATTAATTAAATAAATAAGGAGGATATAAAGCACAGGTTTATAGTCTGCTTTCTATAATATCAGTCCCCCTTGTTTGCCTTGTGTGTTTTCATTTACCCATTGTCAAAAATATTAACTGGAAATTTTCAGAAATCAGCAACTTAACCACTTTAAATTACATGCCATTCTGAGGATGATAGACTCTCCTGTTGGCCCACTCTTTTCTGACTGGGATATGAATCATCTGCTTATGCTGTGTATCTACACTGTATAAGCTACACTCATCACTTACTAGGCAGTCTTGCTGGTCGTCAGACCTACTACTGAAGAATCATAGATAGCTATTTTACTCAAAGCACACAGTGCACAAAAGTGGTGATGCTAGCAATTAAGACATGCCAGAGAGAAGCTTAAAAATACTTCCTTTACATAAACAGGTGAAAGTTTCTCATAGGTATGTATGTATAAGAACAACAAATGGGGCTGGGAAGGTGGCTCAGTGGTAGAGTGCTTACCTTGCATGCATGAGGCCCTGGGTTCGATTCCTCAGTACCACATAAGCAGAAAAAAAAAGGCAGAAGTGGCGCTGTGGCTCAAGTGGTAGAGTGCTAGCCTTGAGCTGAAGAGCTGAGGCAGTGCCCAGGCCCAGAGTTCAGGCCCACGACCGGACCCCCTCCCCCCCAAAAAAACTACAACAAATGTTTATATAGAATACAGTACTATCTGTGCTATCAACTGCGAGTATTGGAAAGTATCCCCTCCAGGGAAGGGATGAGGAATACTGTATAGAAATCCAAACACAGCAATCTAAGTTTGAAGGGATGAAGACTTTACAGCTCCAACCAGTTTAATCCCTTTGCATATATCAAATAAATAGTTGTCCACTGTTTTTTCTCACCTAATTTACTATTCTTAATGGACTTACAGCATTCTCTTATTCTCATATTCCTATTAAACACTTCTGAGTATCTTTTGTTTCCTCTAATTTTTGTCTTAACTTTCGTCTCTAATATGGTTTTGTGTTTTTGGTTTTGTCTGGGTTTTATTTCTGCTTGCTTTTTGAGACAGGATCTTGCTGTATAGTCCAGGCTGGCCTCAAATTCACAATCTCCTACATCAGCCTCCTGCATGCTGATTTTACAGATATGTGCCAGTTTGCCTGGCTTTTACCTCCAACTATTTAAGGTATTTATAGAGGTGTCAGTGGTACTTGGCTTTATGGTTATGTTCTTTTCTCTGTCTAATATGTAAGATTTTTAGTCTTTATTATATTTTTCCCAATGAGAGTTGTTTCATTTGGATAAATTGGCTGAAATCTAAGGTTTAACTCTATAACCATAATAATGTGTTAAAATCTTGGCTCCTTTGTAGAAAAAGTAAAGAATGTTCAGAATCCCAGAGGAAGATCCCAGAAAAGCCAAACTGGAAATTCAAGGCAAGTTCAAGGTTTCATATTTAACATAGAAACTTTTCAAAAAAGCCTTGATGGGGGTACTGTAAAGGGAGGACATTAGTTCCTATTAAAGCTGTAAAAGTCCTATACATTAATGAATTTGGGGCTTTCTCTCTAGGAATAGAGAACCTGCAAGACCTCAGAAAACACAGAAGCAACAGGAAAGCTATGACTGCAACGAATGTGGGAAGTCTTTCTGCACGAAGTCTGCCCTTACAGTGCACCAGCAGACACACTCCAAGGACATATCCTATGAATGTGAGAAATGTGGAAAGTCTTTCTCGAAAAATGACGACCTCACAAAACACCAGAAAGTTCACACCAGAGACAAAACCTACGAATGCAAAGAATGTAAAAGCATTTTCTACCACCTGTCATCACTCAGTCGACACCTGAGAACCCATGCAGGAGATAAACCCTATGAATGTAAGCAGTGTGAGAAATCTTTCTACCAGAAGCCACATCTCATGGAACATCAGAAAACTCACACAGGAGAGAAGCCCTTCAAGTGTACTGAATGTGGGAAGTTCTTCTACATGAAAGCATACCTCCTGGTTCATCAGAAAACACATACTGGGGAGAAACCTTTTCAGTGCAAGGAGTGTGGCAACTTCTTTTCCCAGAAGTCACACCTCACAGTACATCAGAGATCACACACAGGGGAGAAGCCCTACAAATGTAAGGAGTGTGGGAAGTTATTCTCCAGGAATTCTCATCTCAAAACCCATCAGAGAACTCACACTGGAGAGAAGCCGTATGAGTGTAAGGAATGCAAAAAATGCTTCTACCAGAAGTCAGCCCTCACAGTGCACCAGCGAACTCACACAGGGGAGAAGCCCTTTGAATGTAGTAAGTGTGGAAAACACTTCTATTATAAGTCAGATCTCACTAAACATGAAAGAAAACACACAGGGGAAAAGCCCTATGAATGTTCAGAGTGTGGGAAATCCTTCTCTGTGAACTCAGTCCTCAGATTACATCAAAGGACTCACACGGGAGAGAAGCCCTATGAATGCGAAGAGTGTGGGAAATGCTTTTCTCAGAGGTCACACTTCATTATACATCAGAGGAAGCATACTGGGGAGAAGCCATACGAGTGTCAAGAGTGTGGGGACACCTTCATCCAGAAGTCACAGCTCAATACACATCGGAAGACACATGCACAGAAGGGAAAAGCTGACAAATAGCGTGACTGTTTCTGTTGGAATTCGCCCAGCAGAAGGATCAGATAATTCATGTAATGAGAATTGTCAATGAGAAAGTTCTGAGTTGTAACTTTTCCTTACAGAATATCAGCCAGTGCAGTAAGTTTATTAGGAAGACCTTTTAATCACAGGATAGACTTTACAAAGTATCAGACAACAGAGAGAGCACATGGGAGAGAATTCCTGTTAGTAAAATGATGGCCAAGAAGTTTTATGTGGAAGTACCTAATGCCAGACATCTAAAAGTGCACATTCATGAGAAAGTCCTGTGAATAGCTCTAAGTATTCAAAACCATGGCACAAAAGTGGCACTTACAACAGAAAACTGCAGAGATTGTGACAGATAATAGATGTTTTCATCAAGATGATGTTTCATGAAATGCCCTAGCATTCATACTTATACCCTTTATTGTACATATTTGAAAGATTGTAAACAAAAATTCGAAGACTGTGTGGAGAGAAGCACTTATAGTATGTCATGTTGCAGATTTCCAAGGTGGGTTTGTTTTCTTTTAAAAGAAATATACAGTGTAGCATAGTGGGGCATTCCTCCAGGATGCAGGATTCCAGGTTCAAGCTGTCCTAGGCAGAGTTAGCAAGACTCTGTTTCAAAAATAGCAACCTAAGGGCTAGTGGTTGGGTGCTGCCTTGTAAGAATGAGGCCCTGGGTTCAATCTAATAAGGAAGCAAGCAAGCAAGCAAGCAAGGAAGGAAGGAAGGGAGGGACGGAGGGATGGAGGGACAGAGGGAAAAGGAAGGAAGAGGGGGATGGAGGGAAATGGAAGGGGAGGGAAGGGAAGAGGAGAGGAGAGGGAAGGGAAGGGAGCAAAGCCAGAGCATGCCTATCACATCAGTACTGAGGCAGGCTGAGATAGGAGAATCATGAGTTTAAGCCCAACATGGGCTATATAATGAGACCCTATGTCAAGGAACAGAGAGAAACAGAGACAGAGACAGAACACAAAAAGGAAGAAAGGAAGCTTTTTAAAAAGCAAAAATAATCAGACAACATTATTAAACACATTAACACACATGAAGAATTTTCTTGTGTGTGAATGTGCTACAAAATATAACTTAAAAATGTGTGCCATACATACGGAACCCATCTATCAATGTACATAGGAAAGTATATAACCTTAGTTCAATAATGTATGCATAACAAGATGTGTGACAGTGCCTCAGCAGTTATTTTGTTTATATGTGTTGGTGTACTCCTTTAAAATTATGCTTTTCCCCCTCCTGTTTCCTGGCCTTTGTGAATGCATTTAGGCATCACAAAAAAAGAACAAAAAAAGAAGCTAAAATTTTAGCTTTCAGAAAACTTTCAACTGTTTTGTGCTCAGCAGAGTTTGGATAAGGTACATATTTACTTATAGCAAAAGTCTGAAATGCTTTAAAAATAGTTGGAAACGGATTTTTTTTGTTCTCTACAAAATAAGAACAAGTTACAGTACTATGTAAGAAGTATCATTTACTTGTTTTAGCAAGGTGTAGAGCTTATCTGTGTATTTTGTACGAGAGTCTTAAATGTTTGGTATTGCTGTTCTTTGCCTTGTAGAAGCAGATGGCTAAGAGGTGAACTCTGGAGACCAGATCCCAGCCTGGGCCTCAGCTGCCCTGTGCTTTGGCTCCTTTTTTGTGGGAATAGTAGTTAGTCACATCTTGGGATTGCTTGGAGGTTGGAAATTAGTGAATATTTGTGAAGCACTTAGAATAGTTTCTGAGACACAGACCACCTACCCATTAGATATTGTCATGCTGCTTAATTGTCCTGATTTATGCAGTGAATTAAAAGAATATCAATGCAAATTCATCTCCTAACTTAGGGCTGCTCATGTGTCCACTTGATTTGGTGGTTTCCCTCACAGGAACTCGAGAATGAATTTTCTATTCGCCTATCACGCCCATCTGATCCACTGCCCATTCGTGTAGCTTTCATGCTGAGACTAGGTTTGTATTATTAATTGGTTGAAACAAAGAATATTTGGGGACACATGGAAATGACCTATTAAATTTTTGGCGTCCATAAATAAAGCATTCTGAGAATACGAATACAAACCATTTGTTTATATTTTGCCTGTGGCTGCCTCCTTCTGTAGCCATGGAGTCCAGAGCTGTGACAGACTTGATGGCCTACAGCACTATTTACTACCTAGCACTTTATCAAACAAGTTTTCTGTTCCTTGGAGATGAAAACATTGTAGCCAATGCAGAGGTATTCCTTTTGTTAATGTTCTTTGCTTCAGAAATTATGCCTACAGTACAAATTTGAATAGATGATTTCTGTGTAGTGTATTTATTTTTTGCATATTTGTAGGTCAAAAGCCTAAGCTTAGAAGTATTTTTTCAAAGAAATACGTTTATTTTAAACTGGCTAAACTGTAATCATAGCAAATGTCCCAATGATATGTAGCAAACGTGAAATAAACATTGTCTAAACTGAATTGTCAATTCTTTTATATTTCCTTCCAAATCAACAGGACAAGTATTGTTTTATAATTTTTTATTTTTATCACAACATGCCATCTCTGTCCCATATTCAACTAACCCAATCTAATAACAAAGAAATATAATACCTTGCTGGGCATTGGTGGCTCACATCTATAATCCTAGCTACTCAGGAGGCTGAGCTATGAAGATCATGATTTGAAGCCAGCTGGGCAATCAAATAGGAGAGACTCTTATCTCCAGTTAACCTTTAAAAGCTGGAAGTGGAGCTGTGGCTCAAGTAGAGCACCAGCTATGAGACCTGATTTCAAGCTCTAATAAAAAAAAAAGTATACTTGGAATTTACATGCTGTAACTTCTGTACCCTGTATGGTGATTTTTTTTTTGGTCGGTCTTGGGACTTGAACTCTGAACCTGGGCTCTGTCCCTGAGCTCTTCAGCTCAAGGCTAGGGCTCTACCACTTGAGCCACAGCACCACTTGTTTTTTCTGGTGGTTTATTGGAAATAAGAATTTTGCAGACTTTCCTGCCCAGGCTGGCTTTGAACCATGATCCTCAGATCTCAGCCTCCTGAGTAGCTAGGATTACAGGCGCTCAGCATGATTTTTTTTTTTTTATTCCTCAAGTTTTTTTTAATAAAAAGTGAAGACTGGAGCTGGGGGCCAGTGCTCATACCTATAATCCTAGCTACAGAGGAGATCTGAGGATCAAGGTCCAACGCCAGAAAACCTGTGAGACTAATCTCCAATTAACCAGTAAAAAGCCAGAGACAGAGGTGTGGTTCAAGGTATAGAGCACCAGCATTGAGTGAAAAACCTAAGCCTAGGCCCTGAGTTCAAGCCCCAGAATCAGAACAAAAAAATAAATAGACAAGAAGAGAGCAGAGAAGCTTGAATGAATCCTGGTTTAGAGTAAGATACACATATTAATTTTAATATTTACAGATAGAGAGATAGAAATGTAGATATAGTGATACTGGTTTAAAGTCACTTTATTTTCTTAGCTCTGTCTATAGAGAGGGCCTAGAAATGCTTACATCCCATAACTATTGAGTTCAGAGCTTTCTCTAATAAAAACTGAGGTGAAAGAGGAAAAATTAGGCAGATGAGAGACACACTCTTTCCTTTTCCTGAAGACTTGGAAATAGATGAAAGCAAAGACCCCTGACTCTGGAGCAGGCCCGCACAGGGGACAAGTGTCTCTTCCCTTGGGGTTAAGGAGACAGTGCCAGATGCCAGAACAGCTGAGACTGGCCCAAAAGGTAGGAAACCCACCTACATCCGGCTGATTTCCAGGAAGTTTGACACCCCCACCTCACGCCCCCACCCCCGCAGGGAAGAGAGTGGACAAGACCTCATATAGCATAAAACAACCCTCTCAACCGAGAGTCCTGGTTGGGGGTTTATAATAGCCTGCCAGTAGCTATGAGGCATGCCTCAATTTACTTTGGTGCCCTACCCTCACATTCAAATGACCTTTCCCTCTATCCTCATCATCCTTTATCAGAAAGAAACAATCCAAGACCCCTACAGGGGTATCCATATCAGGGTTTCTTAGACAAATGGCTGATCATAGGATTAATGCTGTAAAAAATGCCACCTTAAGGTGTCAGGTATTTTTTTTTCCTTTCCTGGGGCTTGAACTCTGGGCCTGGGCTCGGTCCCTTAGCTTTGTCTGCTCAAAGCTGGTGCTCCATCACTTGAGCCACAGCTCCACATCTAGCTCTTTGCTGGTTAACTGGAAATAAGTCTTATGGACTTTTCTTCTCAGGCTGGCTTCGAACCACGATCCTAGATTTCAGCCTCCTGGGTAGCTGGGATTACAGGTCACTGTCCTATCATTGCCCAGGCACTTTCTAATATTTTTTTTTTGGAGGGGGGGCTCAGGGGCTTGAATTCAGGGCCTGGGCGCTGTCCTGAGGTTCTCTGTGCTCTACTACTTGAGCCACAATGCCACTTTTGGTTTTTGAGTGGTTCATTGGAGATGAGTCTCACAGGGAGTTTCCTGCCCGGGGTTAGCTTCAAACTGTGATCCTCAGATGCCAGATTCCAGAGTAGCTAGGATTACAGGCTTGAGTCACCAGCTCTTGGCTAGATTCTCCCCCGCCCCCCGCTTGGGAGTCCTGGTGCTTGAACTAAGGGTGTCTGTACTATTCCTGAGCTTCTTTTGCTCAAGGCTAGCACTCTAGCACTTGAGCCACAGCGCCACTTCCAGCCATTTCTGTTTATGTGATACTGAGGAATTGAACCCAGGGCTTCATGTATGCTAGGCAAGCACTCCACCACTAAGCCACATCCCCAGCCCAACTTTATACTATTTTAGATAAAAGGATGTTCTACCTTCATCAATGAAATTTAAGCACACCTTTACTGTTTTGATCCACAACCTCCAGCAGGACACTCCAGCAGCCAGGGGCTGGAGGACTGAACAACATGAGGGCGAGATGTCCCACTCGGGGGCTAGGACCCCTCAACGTGGCCCACAAACTCCATCCCAACGCCGGGCCTCAGGGGCGCCCCTCCCTCTGCGCATGCGCAGACAGCCATCCTCCGACTCGTCCTTGCCTGGTCTCCGGTCCCTCGTGGGAAACGATCCCCGGCGTCGGGGTCCACACCGCGAGGGAGCGGCAGGTGAGCCTCGGGGAGAATGAGGGGGGTTCGTGGGGGTCGGGAGGGGGCGGGCAGGAGGCAACCGGTACCCCGATGGGTCTGAGCCCCTCGGACAAAAAACAAAACCCGTGTACGCAGTTGCAGTACGGCTCGGGCATCACTGCCCCGGGAGGGCGCTTGGGTCGCCTCGGGGGACGAAGGGCTAGACTAACGGGGTGCAGGTGCGCCTAGGGCCCCGCGGCCAGCCGGCGGCGCGGAGGCACGGCTGTGGGAGGGAAGTGCGCACGCGCGTTGCGTGCGCTGGCCTCCGAGTGGGGGGTGGGGCGGAGCTGCGGAAAGGGCACGCGCGCCCGTTTGTGACGGGCCCAACGCATGCGCGGTTAGCGCGTGACGTATTGGCGTGCGCGTCGCGCTGGAAAAGGAAAGGGGGCAGGACTGCCCGGAAGAGAGCGGCTGAGCCAGGTCGGGTGTGAATGGATTACTGAGATTAACGCTCGCGAGATTGTGTCCTTTTTTTGTTTGAAATGCGGATGTCAAAAATCCTTAATGCCTTAGGTGGTTTTCTTTGCCCCCCCCCTTTAATTTAGCTGGCTATTACACTTATTTCTGCTGTGTGTCATAACCTGAGAGGGTCCCAGGAAAGGGACTTGGAGTCGCTCCCTGGGCTCCCTGGGCTTGGATGGACGCGGGGCGTGCCCTGGCAGTCACCAGGGCCCTTTCCTGGCCCGACATGCTCCATCCCAGTCAGACCTCTTTGACGTCTTGCTCTTTTGTTGTTCATTGTGTATAATCATGACACAGTATCTATCTTGAAGCCATTGAAGGCTCTGGGACTACTAGGTTAAGAAGAGACAGGTGAGCTGGAGCTGAGGGGTGGGTGCACCACAGCCGCACTGGGGAGCCTCGGTGGAGCAGTGTCTGGCTTGAAAGGCTTACCAGCTAAGCTAAGGAAATGCTGTTATCACCCCTTCCTAAAAACCCGTTTCTTCATATCCTGGAGCAGCAGCTGTCCCATCCAGTGGTGGCATCAAGCAGATGTTGAAGTTCTTGCTTTCCTGGCTTTATAGGCCCACGGGATGATAGGACCTGCAAGGCGGGTCCTTTGTAGTGCAGCTGTTTTGACTACTGAGAGATTTAAACATATATGTCCCAACTGCAAAAGCTAGGTGACATGCACTTGTCATCCTAGCTGAGGTGAAGAGGAAAATAAGAGGATAGAGATCCAGTCAAGTCCAATTAAAAATACACACACACAGACCTAGCTGGCTGCCTATGGCTCACATGTAATTCTAGTTACTTAGGAGGCATCGAATTGAGGATCATAGTTTGAAGATAGCCTAAGCAAGAAAGTCCATGAGACTCTTCATTTCCAATTAAGAAAAAAAAAAAAAAAGCTGGAAGTGGAGCTGTTGTTCAAGTGCTAGCCCTCTAGCCTTGAGTACAAAGCCCACAGACAGCACCCAGGCCACGAGTTCAAGCCCCAGGACCAGTACACAAAATGAAACAGGAACCTATCTCAAAACCATAGCACAAAGTGTTGGAGGTGGAGGTGTAGCTCAAGTACTAAAGTGCCTGCCTAGCTAGGGTGCAGCCCTGAGTTCTAATTCCAGTGCAGCCAAACAGGATGGGAAAAAAAAAATCAAGTTTCAGAAAGTGACTTATTTCAAACACATGATTTGTTGATACCAGAAGGTTAGAACTCTGGTTTACAAATTCCTGGGACATTGGCATTTGTTTTGCCACTTAAATCACAGTTAGTCTGTGTGGTGGTGTTGTCGCTGTCTCCCCTCCCTCCCCCTTTCTTTTCATACTTAATTGGAGACGTCTCAAGGACTTTTCTGCCCAACCTGGCTTCAAACTGCTACCTTAAGATCTTGGCCTCCAGGGTAGCTAGAATTTCAGGTGTGAGCTTCCAGCACCCAGCTTCAAAGTTAGTTTCTTATTAAAACATGCCTTTGAGAAATTTAACATAGCAGCAGAACATTCTAATAGGCTGTCACTCTACCATTTGAGCCATTCCATAAACTTGGATTACCTGACCCTAGGGATTAGTGATGTTTGCAGGTAAATATTGATAAACAGGATGGCCTGAGGTTTTTTTTTTATCTTCAATTATGACAAATCTATACTATTTCCACTTTTAGATTACTGTTATTAAACTCATTTATGTTTTCAATTTTTCTGTATCACAGAACCTAAATTGGTAATAAATCAATAAGAAACAAATGTTTACATTCACTCAGTGAAAAAATATCATGTCTAAACTCAACATATATCAGAGCCACACATGGACATGTAAGTATTATATGGACCTCTATAGGCAGATGAATCCAGGAACTGCCAAGCAGGCCAAGTCTCTCCTGACATCCTTCTTCCTTTCTTCTCCATCAGCTCTCTCTCCTCCACCAAGAGCAGAAGATGAAAAAATCCCAGGTGAGTTTTCTCCCACTTCAAAGTTTGAAAACCAAAACAAACCAAAACCACTGACCTGTCTTCCAGAGGTCTTGTATAACTCACTTTTCTGTATACACTGCTGGTTCTTGCAGTGTTGGTTTAATAAGTGCTCATAAGTTTGTGCTCATAAATTTGTGCCCTCATCAAATGTTGAGAAAAGGACCTGTTTTGTTTTTGTTTTTTTTTTTTTACTTGTAGTCTTAGGAACTTGGGTAGTTCCCAGCCTGTAGTGGAAACTCAGTTTGTATAAGATATTCAGTGTTATTCTACATAATAAGCATAAAAGGAGGGGTTCTTCTGCCATTTCTTGTAAACTAAAAAAAAAAAAAAAATTGTCCTGCCAATTCTTTTCTACATCACAACTGCAGAGAGAAACACTATTCTGTTACAGGGACATGTGTCATTCAAGGATGTGTGTGTGGACTTTACCAAAGAAGAATGGTATCTCCTGGACCCTGCTCAGAAGATAATGTACAGAGATGTAATTCTGGAAAATTACAGCAACCTTGTCTCAGTAGGTGAGTTTTTTTTTTTTAACATGGCTTCCAATCCTATGCATTTCTTAGTTGCTGAAAGTGAAGACCCTGTTGCTTTCTGATTCAAGTCAGACTGAGCTCTTTGCCTGTGATAAAGAAAGTGTTCTTTCCAATCTTTGAGGATTATATGTTTGGGTACCTTTTTTGAGCAGCTCCTTTGCCTTCATTTTTTTTTTTTTCAGAGTGCACAAATCTAAGCTGTTTGTCCTCCACCTTATGGTATTCTGTTTTACAGGGCACTGTGTTACTAAGCCAGAGGTGATCTATAAGATAGAACAAGGGGAGGAACCCTGGATACTGGAGAAGGGGTCCTCAAGCCAGAATCACTCAGGTGAGTCATTGAATCCACAGGCAGGTGAAAACAAGAGGAAATTAATCTTCAGTCCTTGGTTTAGGGTTTGTTACCTGTGGAATATTTTTCAGAAATTCTTTTTCACCCCAGATCTTTAGAATTGACCAAGGATGGTTGGCCCACATCTTGCTGTCTTATATAATTTCCTTGTATGAGATTCTTACTCATAAATGCTTTTGTCTTTGACATTGTAGAGTGATTTATTTGTACATGGCATCCAGTCAACTGGCTTTAGGTTTTTGATTTCTTTTTCTCAGTTTCTCTTTATCTTTTAAAATTATTCACCATCGATTTTCTTTTAGACAGCTGGCATATATTCATGCACTTCTTGCATACATTCAACTTAACAAAAATATGATGGTGAATAGTCACTGTGGCTCAGTTATGTTCTAGGCAATTAACAGAATAATATCTAGCTGGGTACCTGTAGCTCATGCCTGTAATCCTAGCTACTCAAGAGGCTGAGATATGAGAATTGTGGTTCAAAGCCAGCCTTGGCAGAAAAGTCTGTGAGATTCTTATCTCTGATTAACCAGCAAAAAATCCAGAGGTGGGGTTGTGAGGACAAAATAGCCCAGTGAGAGAACAAGGCTCTGAGTTCAAGCCCCAGTCCTACATTTGAAGGAAGTACTGGCAGGAAAGAATGGAGGGAGGCAGGAAGGGAAAGAAGGAAGGAAAGAGAAGAGAAAGTCAGGAGAGAGAGAAAGGGAAGAAGAAGGAAGGAGGGAAGGAAAAAAAAGAGAAACATTCTCTAGTATCTTGTCTTTCATCCTCAGTATTTCACCTCATTTGGTAGAGGTGGAAATGATTCACATGGACCTCACTTTTTTGGAACTGTTATTTTACCATCTCAGAAGAGGTAGAGGAAACAGGTCTAGTAATACATGCTAAGAGGTAGATTGCAACAGAGGGATTTGTTGTATTTACAGTGAATTATGTAAAAAGTAGTATCTTCTGAAAGACAGCATACATAGGATCTTACAATGGGTGGATGTTTAGCGACTTTTTGGCTTTCATGTTCTTACAATCACTAATGCTTATATTATCAATCTAAAAAAAATTAAAGTAGCATTTCACTGAAGGATGTATAGGCTTCAAGGAGAAGAAAGGCTGGAATGCCTTTAGTTAATATACTTTTTAACTAAAGGATACATTATTGGGAATGACCAGTATATGAGTCTGATATCTAGCTGGAACCACACAAAGGTACTTTTAACAGACTTGCAAATTTTTAGTTTGAACACATAATGTGAATCAGTTTTGCAAGGTTTTATTTATTATTTTTTGGTCAGGGTAATAACTTTTATCTATTGTCATACACATACATACACACATATACACATATATATGTAAACCTATATGTGTGTATATATTATATTTATGTATTTATATCTATATGTTTTTCTTCTTGCCAGTACTGAGGTTTGAACCCACACATGCTTGGCTTGCTTGCTCTGTTTGTGCTCTACCTAACTTGAACCTGGCCTCCAACCCAGATTTTTTCTAGTTATTTTGGAAATTAATCTCATAGACTTTTCTGCCTGGGGCTAGCATTGAACTGTGATCCACCATATTTCAGCCTCCTGAGTAGATAGACATACAGGCATGAGCCACCTGCACCCTGGTCATAGATTATTTTTGAACATGTGATTAACATGTCATATGGATAGCAACAGTGACGTATAGCCAACAATTTTACGAGTAAGTATACTGAAGATCTAGATACCATATACAGAAGTATTCCTGTGGACCTCACAGATTAGGCCAAACATTAAAGCAGAGTCATAAATGAGAAACCTACAAATAAATGCAGATTTGAACACCTGTGTGTAGTGACAGATGTGTGTGTGACATACTGTAGTAAGTAGGTCATGGGAAGATGAGGTATAAACTATGCTCTGCCTCAGCCAAGCTTAATTCTCCCTCCATTATATTTCACAACTACTCTTTATTAAAAAGACAACTGTGGGGCTAGGAAGGTGGCTCAGTGGTAGAGCGCTTGCCTTGCATGCATGAGGCCCTGGGTTTGATTCCTCAACACCACATAAGCAAAAAGAAAAAAGCCGGAAGTGTCGCTGTGGCTCAAGTGGTAGAGTGCTAGCCTTGAGCTGAAGAGCTGAGGGACAGTGCCAGGCCCAGAGTTCAGGCCCCACAACCGGACACCCCCCCCCAAAAAAAAGACAACTGTCACATTTACTGTGAATTTCCTGTCTTTTGTGTAACTTTCAGATTATCTCCATCCCCTGCTTATCCTATCTTCCATTTATTGCACTTCATCTAGCATGTTTTTCCACCAACTTTTGGAAACTCCACCCTTGTCAATAAAATTAAAGAAAAAGCTCTTCATCCTGGGCTTTCAGACTATTCTCTTGAACCTGAGGAAGTTGATACTTATAAAACTTTAGTTTGGTGTTAATATATATTATAGAAAAGAAGCATGGCTGGGCGCCGGTGGCTCACGCCTATAATCCTAGCTACTGAGGAGGCTGAGATCTGAGGATCACAGTTCAAAGCCAGCCTGGACAGGAAAGTCCGTGAGGCTCTTATCTCCAATAAGCCACTAGAAAACTGGACGTGGTGCTATGGCTCAAGTGGTAGAGCGCTCGCCTTGAGCTGAAGAGCTGAGGGACAGCGCCCAGGCCCAGAGTTCAAGCCCCATGACCAACAAAAAAAATGAAAAGAAGCATGGACTCTAGTGAGAATCTACTCCAGTGATCTTGGTGAGAGCAGTAAGGACATATCTGTTACCACCTAAGCTTGTTCATTTTCTGAAACTTTGGGCTCCCCAATTTTTTCCATGTTTATTGGCTCTGCTGGGCTCATCTTAAAATAGTGTGTGCGTTTCTTGACTTTTTTGAATGAGCCACTTGGATTCCCTGGGCTGTAGATTTTATTTGACATTTTTATATCATTTTGAAGTTTATAAAGTGTTAGTCATTGCCCTTTTTTTCTGATGAAAGCTAGAAAAGTTTCCCTGAACTCAATCATACCAGGAAACTGGGTCTAAAGCAAAAGAATTGACTGGATTAGAGCCTTTGTGTCCAAATTCACCAGAAATGTGTGATTATTTTTCTCTTTCTTTCTAGAAAAGAAATGGAAAGATGATGACCTATTAGAGAGCAGCCAGGAAAATCAAGATGAACACTTTTGGCAGCTCATAGTCACCAACAACAAACCAGTAAGTGTAGAAGGTGGTGATAAACTTAGGAAAACTTTGAATCTGGACACAGACCAAATGTCTTCAAGAAATTGTCCCTTTAAAATATGTGATACTTGTGAAATGAGTTTGAAAAATATTTCAGATTTAATTATTAGTAAAAAGAACTATTCCAAAAAGAAGTCTGATGAGTTTAATGTATGTGAAAAATTAGTTCTTGATATTAGATCTGAAAAAATCCCTGTTGGAGAAAAATCTTGTAAATACAACCAAAAAAGGAATATTCTCAGACATCATCAGGACCTCATTCAACCAATTTTTGACCAGCCTTTTATGTATAATAAAAATGGCCAAGGCTTCCATGAGGAAGCCTCCTCTTTTACAAGTCAGAGATGTCAGATAGGGGAGACACTCTGTAAATACACTGAATGTGGAAGAACCTTCATTGATAGCTTAAAGCTTAATGTATCCCAAAGAACTCATTGGGAGATGGAGCCATATGAATGCAGTATTTGTGGGAAGCTCTTTTATGTGGATTTACAAGTTGGACATCAGAGAGCTCCTTCAGAGGACAGTAATTATGAATATAATGAATTTGGGGAAATCATCTGTGACAGTTCAACTTTCATCATCCACCAGGGAGCTTACACAAGAAAAACTCCCCACGAGTATAAATTGAATGACAAAGCTTGGGAAAAGTCAGCCCTCTTTAAACATCAGATAGTACACATGGGTGGAAAACCCTATCCATGCCCTGAAAGTGGGAATCATTTCAGCAAGAAGCCACATCTCCCTCAATCTCGGAGAGCTCATTTGGGAGAAAAAACCTTTGAGTGTGGTGAGTGTGGTAAAACATTCTGGGAGAAGTCAAACCTCACTCAGCATCAGAGAACACACACAGGTGAGAAACCCTATGAATGTACTGAATGTGGGAAAGCCTTCTGCCAGAAACCACACCTCACCAACCACCAGCGAACACATACAGGAGAGAAACCCTACGAATGTAAGCAGTGTGGAAAAACATTCTGTGTGAAGTCAAACCTCACTGAGCATCAGAGGACACACACAGGGGAGAAGCCCTATGGATGCAATGCCTGTGGGAAGTCCTTCTGCCACAGATCAGCCCTGACTGTCCATCAGAGAACACACACAGGGGAGAAGCCCTTTATATGCAATGAGTGTGGGAAATCCTTTTGTGTGAAGTCCAACCTCATTGTACATCAAAGAACTCACACAGGGGAGAAACCTTACAAATGTAATGAATGTGGAAAAATGTTCTGTGAAAAATCAGCTCTCACTAAACATCAAAGAACTCACACAGGGGAGAAACCTTATGAGTGTAATGCATGTGGCAAGACGTTCAGTCAGAGGTCAGTCCTCACTAAACATCAGAGAATTCACACAAGGCTGAAAGCTCTTTCAACATCCTAAATGGTCAGAAGCCGACACAACACCTGTTAGGTTTGTTATCCATGTTTTAAAAATGAGATTAGGGAATTTGAAAGGATGCTATGTGTACACCAGAGGGGAACCAGGAAGATGACACAGAACTAGAGGGAATCAGGGAAAAGCATATAACAGCGGGACCCATCAGTTGCACTGGACATTGACCAAAATGAACTAAGCAACTCAATGGCAGCGATGGGAGGGAGGGAACAAGTGGGAAAGAGAGAACAGCTGATGCTATGCAAAACAAAAGAAATGTACATATCACCCAATGTGAAAGAAATAACCATATTGCAAAGCTCATAGAACTCAAATGTTACAGACCATGACAGACATTTGCTCCAGGAAAGTTAGAATGTGTTTTTGACTTTAACTGAGCATCACTATCCCACAATACTGTGAAATTTGGGAAATTATGTAACCACTTAATCACAATAAAAATTTTGGGGAAAAAAAAGGATGCTAGGAAGTAACTTGAAAGTAGCATCTTTTAAAATAATGGAAAAAAAAAATAATGGAGTGCTTTCAAGAAAAATTTAAACTTTTCATTGGAAATTGTACAAAAGGGAAATAATGTGTTTAGAAAAAGTCTTTAGAATTTATACTGCTTAATAACATCTTCCAATTGTGATACCAAAACTGTATTGTAAATATAATGTGCAATATTTATTTTATCCATAGTCATTGTGGCATCTGAAGCTAAAAACTGAATCACAGTAGCATTAAACATGCATATATATGAAGAATCCCTGATGTTTTTAGACTTTATGTGAGTATGTTAGTGTAAAAGAAATTTGGGGTGGACTTGGTTTGTATATTAGAGCCCAACATGGTTATGAGGAGAAAATATGAACTCCTAATTTTAGTAACTTAAGGTATATATTAATATTTTCCATACTAAATACCACAGTGTCTTTATAGGTTAATACAATTATATATGTGTCTATACATGTGTGAAGTGAATGTATGTACTTATATGTATGCATAGGTAGATATATGTGTATACTCATACCTGCATACATTTGGTGATGTAATGTCACTCCTTGGTGAATTTTCAGGAATTTGTTGAGCCAGTTGGGAAACACAGTTATTAAAGTTCATAGATCAGTTGTATTAAGAGCAAAGGAAATACATTATCTATCACTTTCTAATAATGTTGCTGCTTTTCACTGTCATCTTTGTGGATTGGATTTCTCTTGTTACTGGCTCTGAATGGTCTGTGTCATGTTGTGCTATTGCTCACATCTCTTTCTGACATGATACACACACCATCATGTTGGTAGCTAGGCCTTAGTTAGAATATTTATACAACGGAAATTGATTAACTATATGTCAAGGGTTTATTTTATCAGAGAATCTGTTGTCTAATATTTAACTAGCATTTCTCTGAGTATGTATGAAAATGTATGTGGCAGATTTAGAGTACAAATCACATGCCCATTTTTCTACTTCCTGAAATAGCTAATGGCCATTGGCTATTATTACTTACCTGCCTCATTACGAAGGACAACTAAAGATTGTGAGGTTTTTAATTACCTCTGAATCAGCCCGATTCTAAATACTAGCAGTCTCTATAGCTTGTATAGTATATTAAGTGACACAGAATTTCAGCAAGAGCTATATCATCTACTTTGGACTGCTTTCTGGCATATCTGAATGAACATGGCCATTATTACCAAACTAACTTTTCAGTTAAGAAATCAAATAGTATTTTTCTGAGGTTTTATATGACAACATATAAATGTTGTCAGTAACTATGATGTTTTTTTATGAATACACAAATATACATCAACTCTAAACATCTGTACTACACTCTACAGATTAAAAATGGCAACATTTTATGGAATTTTACTTTCAGACTCTTAGCACTTCATTGTGGACCTATTTAAGCATGATATATATAACCCTCAAGAATTGTGTATTTATATGTACAACTATAGACTATCACCGTTTCTCTGCCTCTGTTCTGTTGTTCCTAGTGCTTCTGGGAATACACAGTTCTAAGTGGCCACCTACTTCTTCCCTGTTCCTTCCCACAGTTGACTTTGGGGGCACGGGGAGCAATGAATCCAGATTAGATTACAATGGAAATTCCATTTGAGCCATTTTGTTGGGATGAATATGTGAGTAGTGAGAAGTTCAGGAAATACATCAGTGTTGAAATATTGTCTTGACATGGTAAGATGTAAGAGACATCTTCTGGTTTCCATGTCTGTGATACAAGTTTATAATCTGGGTTCGGAAGATGAAAATTTGTGAGAGGAAAAAGCTGGCCCAGACATGTCACTGAGCTGCTCAACTCTGTAACTCTTCCATTCTGGGACTTTGTCCTGACAGTGATAGTAACTGTTCCTTGTTTATTCTTAGGCCTGTGTGACACTTAACAGCTGGAAGAATTTCAGCTGATACAGAGGAACACTTTTCTAAGTACTACATATAGTGATTTGGGAAATGAATTTCTTTTCATAAGTCCCTCTCAGGATGATTAAAAAAAATAAGCCATTGGTTTCTCTGATGAAAATGAAGTACAAAAATTTTAATGGCAAATGTATTACAGTGGTATGGACTAAGAAGAAATAATATTGAAACACCTCAAAAGTGGTACCTATAGGAAACCATTTCCATGTTAAATCCTCAAGGGATGAAGATGGAGACAGCATTATCAGATTCTAGCAAGAGCTGATATCCTGAAGCAGACACCATCAACCTAGCAGAATTATGGCACACATTGCTAGAACCTTCCTTTGAAGAACCCAGCCAGAGATATCTACAGGTGAGCCCAGGTGGGCACAGAAGGGTGGAGGGGAGTCTGCACAGACAAAAATGTAGCATAAGCTAGCATAAGCCAGTATGGTGCTTTTAATTTCTGTAAATTCCTATGTAAAAGGCGCAGTATTAGAAATAAAGATATTACTAGTTGGAAGCTAAGTGTTCCCACTTCATTGTGCTTTCATCTTGGCATAAGCAGATTCTCTTTGGAACTTTGTCTGTAGATAGACAAATCTCTCCTTTGGCCTGTATGCAACAGATGATAAATTTCATTATTCATATATATCTATGTGGTGTTCCTTATATATGGTGTGAGATGAGCTCAATGTTCTTCCAAATAAACTTCCAGGTGACTATGCAGTGTTGAACAAATTTACCTTTCTTTCTTTCTTTCCTTTTCTTTTTCTTTCTTTCCTTTTCCCTCTCTTTCTTTCTTTCTCTTTTCTCTCTTTTCCTTCTTTTTCCCTCCCTCCTTTCCTTCCTTCCTTCCTTCCTCTCTCCCTCCTTTCCTTCCTTCTTTCCTCTCTCCCTCCTTTCCTCCCTCCCTTCCTCCCTCTTCTCCCTTTGTTGCTTCCTTCCTTCGTTGCTTCCTTCTTTACTTCCTTTCGTGCCAGTCCTAGGGCTTAAACTCAGGGTAGGCACTGTCCCTGAGTTTTTTTGCTCAAGGCTTGCACTCTACTACTTGAGCTACAGCTCAAGTCTTTTTGGTGATTAATTGGAGATAAGAGTCTCATTCTTTCCTGTCTGGGCTGGCTTCAAACGATGATCCTTAGATCTCAGTCTCCTAAGTAGCTAGGATTGCTGGTGTAAGACACCAGCACTTGGCTAATTAACCTTTCTCTTGATGTGGCCATATTACTATGTACTTAGAAAATTTTATGGGTGTTACTTTTGTTTGCTCAGTGTAACTTTTCAACATTTTTCTAATAGTGGAATCTGTCTCTGTGATCAAAGAGTAGTCTTTTACTGGCCAGTCTTAGTATTGCTCCAGGTATGTGTTCCAAATTAGGCCAGTAAGAACTCATTCTAGAGTACTTTGATTGGGGGAGTTATCATATATTTGGTATAGTTTTTGTGCCAGCTCTGATGTCAAGAAAATTCACTTGCACTGAAATCTACTATCCAGGGTCTTTGGGTGCCAAGCCCATAATTGTACAGCTCAAGCCTGTAATCCTCACTACTCAGGAAGCTGAGATCTGAGGATGGAGGTTTTAAAGCCAGCCTGGGCAGGAAAGTCCATAAGACTCTCACCTCCAATTAACCAACAAAAAGCTGGAAGTTGAGATGTGGTTCAAGAGATAAAACACTAGTCTTGCATGAAAAGGCTAAGTGAAAGCACCCAGGTCTTGAGGTCAAGCCTCAATACTGACACCAAAAAATTACCAAGTAAATGGTAATAAGTGCTATTAAGACAATTTATAATAGGCAAAGTTGTCTGAGAGATAGAGGAGGCCACATTGAGAGAAGAGCCAAGTGGCTATTTGGAGGAAGTGGGGAGTGGAGGGGGGGGGAGAGAAAGAGAGAAGCAGAGAGACAGATAAGCGTTGCATGATTGGGTGGGGGGGGAGGATGGGAAGGGGAAACAAAGGAGGAGGCTACAATGCTTGATAAGAAATGGACTCATTATCTTGCCCATGTAATTGTAACTCCTCTGTACAGTATTTTCACAATTAAAAAGAGTTGCATGAACACCCTACTCATCTTTAATGTACATCAATATTTTGTGTTGGTCTACATTCTTTTTTTTATTGTGAAAATACCGTACAGAGGAGTTACAATTACATGGGCAAGATAATGAGTACATTTCTTATCAAGCATTGTTGCCTCCTCCTTTGTTTCCTCTTCCTATCCCTTCCCATCTATCTCCCCTCCCCCACCCCCATCGGTCTACATTCTAATCAAAGAAATTCTTGTTCCCACATACTAAACCACACACAAACAGCTAGGATATCCTCTGGTTCACTAGTGTACAAAAACAGAATGGGAACTGTTGGGTTATAAATTTATACCTAGACCTTTTTTTCAACTCCCCAACAGCCTGGTCTTGAGATTGGGGTCCTCTTTTCTGTGTTGAACTTGCCCTCCCTTATTCTAGTGCACCCTGGCACTTTCCAGCCAGAATGTCCCTGACATAGAACCATAACATCTGTGAGGTCCACCCACAATTATCCCTAGTCAACCATCTCTGCTTTCTGTTCCTAATTTGTAGACTGCAACTGTGCCCATCTTGCACATTCCTTAGTATTCCTTTCTCAAGAAGACTTGATTATCACACTGTATTTCCTGTCTCTTCATCTGCCACTTCATCCCTGGGCACTCACACTCAGCCTCCTCCTTTTATCTGTGCAGGCCTCCTTTTCCCAGTCTGACCTTTGTGACCTTACATTTCAGGACCCCACACATACTGGAGAAGACTTCTGACAAAGAGCTATACCCCCAGCCCTCAGAGAGGGTAGTCCCCTCAAGCTGGGCACAAGTGGCTCACTCTTGTAATACTTGCTACTCAGGAGGCTTGAAGCCAGCCTGGGCAGGAAAGTCTGTGAGACTCATCTCTAAAAAAACCTGAAGTGGAGGTGTGGCTCAAGTGGTAAAAGTGCTAGCCTGAGCAAAAAAGCCCAGGGACAGTGCCCAGCCCCGTGTTTAATCCTCTGGACCAGTGCATGTGCACACACACACACACACACACACACACACACACACACACACACACACAGTCCAAGACTCCCTTCCACTACCTAAGGAGGTTAGAAATTATATTATCAGCCCTCCCACATCTGGAGTCTACAATTGGGACACGTTTCTCTTGGAGCTTGTTTTCCGCATCTACAAAATGGGGAGGAGAATAATTCATCTGTAAGAGCAGGTCTCTCACTTGCTTCCAATAGCACAGGTAAAAATTCTCCTTTTACCCGCCTTTCTAAGAAAGCCCAAGTCCTCAAAGAAGTAGGGAGTTCAGAGTTCTATATACTCAAGTCCCAAAGGAGGATAGTAACACCTAGCTCTTGTGGATCTCTACTCACATTCTTTCAGACATGGACCTTAGATGAGCTTGGAGCCATGACAAGTAGAAAGTGATAAGCTGGCATCCATGACATGGTCAGACTTCTCTAGGCAGCTTAGGACTGGTGCTCCTTATGCTGTGGTGGCCTTACCAGCAAGCCAGACTGGGAGAATAAATCTGGCATTTGACAGGTGAATGGTCTTCAACCCCATTGGTGCTCTCCTAAATAACTTGGTATGGGCCTTAGCCCATACCTTGTAATATATATATATATATATATATATATATATATATATAATATACATAAATATACATTATCTATAATTTTAAAAATTTATACTCTACTGGAATCTTACATGAATTTGTTTTAAAAATTAGAAATATAGTAAAAAATATTAAGTCTTGGCCTTGATGTCTAAACAAGGATAATTCACATAAAGATTTTGTAATTAGGGATGGGTAGCTCAGGTTTGTGTAATCCTAGCTACTCAGGAGGTTGAGATCTGAGGATTGCAGTTCAAAGGCATCCCAGATAGTAAAGTCAGAGACTCTATCTCCAATTAACTACCAAAAGAGCTGTAAGTGGAACTGTGGCTCAAGTGGTAGAGCTGTAGCCCTAAGTAAAAACGAATGAGCTTAGGTACAGTACCCAGGCCCTAAGTTTAAGCCTTGGGACTGGCACATACACACAAAAAAGACTATCATTAGAGCTGAACATCAGTGTATCAAGCCTGTAATCCTAGCTACTTAGAAAGCTGAGATTTGAGTATCCCAGGGCAAAGCTACTCTAGGAAGAGAAATCCCAGAGACTGTTATCTTCAATTAACCACCAAAAAGCTAGACATAAAAGTTGCTCGAGTGGTTGGTTCCAGCTTTGAGTGAAAAAACAAAGAATTCAAGCCTTAGTACAGACACATACGCACACCTACACACAAGATGCTTACATAATGTTAAAATCAAATTATTTGTAACGTAGACCTGTGTTAAATGATACAAGACTAAGAGTTTAGTTAGACAATACATGGGTGAGGGGCCAACGTTGAGGAAGCAAGGGCCACTGAAAACCAAGGCTTAGGAAAGTGGCCCATGCGGTGGACACGCTCGTCTGTAAAGCCCCACTTGAACCACAACTGAGACAGACAATCTGGAAAACAGCTCTCCCACCAGGCTTTTAGACTCCGGGGCAATTTGACTCATTGGGATAACACTTTGCAGGGCATCCTTCTCGTAGGGAGAACAGGAAGAGAAGTCTGGCCATTTCTGCTAGTTCCTCCTTTCTCAGGATCGTACATTCAAGAACATTTTATAGAACTGAGAGTCTAAGGCCATCCGGAGAACTGGCCAGCACACAGTGGCTGGTTTCCACTACATCCAAAGAATAGCCCCTACTGACTCCTGGTCTGAGTCATGCCATATAGGATTCGGCAAGCTGCAATGTTAGAGACCCAGGCCCCAAGATGAACCAGATGGGCGCCCCGCTTACAAGGGCGGAAAACACTGGAAACGTAAAACCTCGTACACCCCATCCATAGTGGTCCTGCATTGACCCAAGCATTACGTAGAAACCCAGGTAAAGCCAGCCACCTGCGGGTGTCACACCTGCAATTCTAGCTGCTACTGGAGGTCGAGATCTGAGGACCGCAGTTCCAAGCCAGCCCAGGCAGCAAAGTCCGTGAGACTCTCATCTCCAATTAACTGCCCCAAAGCCAGAAGTGGAGGTGCGGCTCAAATGGCAAAGCACGTGCCTGGAGCCAGAAAGGTGCGCGCATGCGCACGCAAGGCACTAGAACCCTAATGACCCTGGAGCGCTCCGGACGTCGCCGTCTGTGAAGACGCGCGTGTAGACTGTGGCGAACCGGCCTTTCGGAGGAGACAGGTACGGAGACTCGAACATGACTAGGACTAAATGGACTCACTTCCAGCTATAACCGGAGACAGGCCGCACCAACAGCTTGGCTTTCGGCGGGGACTAGCCTGGAGAGCGCCGGCGGCACAGGAGTACCAACTGCGTATAGGCTGAACGCCGGTCCCGACTTGAGGAAGGGAAGGGGCGGGGCTTCCGCCTCAAAGGCGGGGCCTCAGGAGGGCGGGGCTTCCCGGGCAGCTCCTCTCCAGCGCCGCACTCATTCCCTAGATGCCTTCCTTCCGGTTCTGCTCTCAAACTCGTCCTCCCGGAAGTCCTTTTCGTCTGTCTCTTGTTTCTCACCGGCGGGCCGCGTGTGTAATGGGCTTCCGTTTCCGGCGGTGTCCATGCGGGCTCTACGGGTAGCAGTTGTGAACCGGGTAACCGCCGCGGGTTCTGGGAGACGACGGCAGGCTTTGGGGGCTCCGAGAGGAAGCTGTGCGTGGTAAGGTCCTCCCGCTGTCCTCCCGGAAGCTCAGCCCCTCATTGGCTGACGTGCTCGCTACCTGAAGAGTTGTAGCAGAGTGAAGCCCGGCCTGGCGCCGGAGCCGTGAGGCAAGTGGCTGGAGAGATCATCTCGGGGCAGGCGACCTGGGCCTTCTACAGAGCTGTCCGTTCCAGATTGTGTGTGTGTCTGTGTGTGCGTTCGCGCTTTCCGAGAGGGAAAAGGGGAGAGCAAAAGTAGGACAAAATGTACTTCTCTGTTAGGGAATATCTCTGTCGAAGCACAGGAGATTGATGGATGGCGATGAAATTTCGATTAAAGTTTAACTTAGGACACCATTCGTTTAGTGTAGTGGCCATAAGTTATATTCTCAGTTTAAAAAATAGTACTGCAAAACATCTTTATGCCGGTGGCTCACTTCTGTAATCAGAAGGCTGCGATCTGAGAATCGTTGGAAGCCATCCGGGACAGGTAATTCTATGAGACTTACAAACAGCAAGAAGCCTTAGTGTAGCTGTGGATCAAGTGATAGTCCGTTTCCCTAAGTATATTTGAGCTTCTCAGTAGCCAGTGGCTACACAAATAGTACTGAATTAAATAGTGCCCCTTGATGGTTAAGTACTGTTCCTCACCTACCCACCCTATTACACGCAGATTGGAATATTTGTCAGTTGATAAACAGTAACCATGGAGACTAAGGATCAGAAGAAGCATAGGAAGAAACACAGTGGACCCAAGGCTGAGAAGAAAAAGAAACGCCATCTGCAGGATCTCCAACTTGGAGATGAAGAAGATGCTCGGAAAAGGAACCCTAAAGCTTTTGCAGTTCAGTCTGCTGTGCGTATGGCTCGATCCTTTCACAGGTATGAATGGCTAGACTCTGATGGTTCTTACATTTTATTATTTCTTATATGGTAGGAGCCACTCACTGCTGACTTTGGGCTTCATGGATAATTCAGGACATCAATTCCTTATGGCTTTTACTAATGTCTCAGAAGGCTTTCTCATGGGAGCTATTTTGCCTCCAGCAGCTGCCCATTGGTTGCTTTATTTTTAGTCCAAAAGAAAAGAATTTTTAGAATATAATTTGTAAGATGAATTCCTGAACTTTAGTCTCTATGGTAATGTTTCTTTTTTCCTCTATGTCTTTCATACCATTGTAATAGGAAATGTTGAACTGTAATAGTATTAAGAAGGCTGTATTTAGAAGTCTACTATATAGCCAGCAGAACACTTTTAAATGTTACTGAATTAAATTCTCCCTATAATCTTAGGAATAAGAAATCTGACTCAAACTCATTGATTCACAGCCTGTAATCCTCGCCACTTGGGAGGCTTAAGGTATAGTATGAGGATCACAATTCAAGCCAAGCCAGGACAGGGAAATCCAGGAAACTCTTCAGTGAACCAGCAAAAAGCCAGAAGTGGAACTGTGGCTCAAGAAGTAGATCACTAACCTTGAGCAAATAAGTTTCAGAGCCCAGGCCTTGAGTTAAAACTAAGTACTGGCACAAACCTTTTTATAAAAATAAATCTCATTCTCAACTACATCGTGAGAAAACTGAATTTATTTCCGAAGATTTTACTCTTATTTGTTTTCTCTTTTTCTTTTAAACTATTAAAATCAACACAAAGTAGTCAGATTTACTGAGTAACTTTCCCCTGTCTTTTATCTGTTATTTCATTACTAAAGAACAGTTATTTGGTTTGGGGTCAGAAATTAATGTTAATAATTCACCAGTTACTTATATCTGAATATCAGCTGTTCTTTATTTTGAAAGTGATCTTAATCTTTTTTTTAAAATAAATAGGACTCAGGATTTAAAAACAAAAAAGCATCACATTCCAGTGGTTGATCGAACACCCCTGGAGCCCCCACCCATCGTGGTAGTGGTGATGGGGCCCCCAAAAGTTGGAAAGAGTACTTTGATACAGTGCCTCATCCGGAATTTCACCAGACAGAAGCTGACAGAGATCAGAGGCCCTGTGACAATTGTGTCAGGTGAGCAGGTGCTGACATGGGACTCTCCTGATAGATTTTCCCTGAAGAACACATATATCTTTGTTGCTTTTTTTGACCAGAAACTTAAAGTAATAATGTATGGTATTATATTATCATTCTTTTGTTTTACTAAGTTCACAAAGAGGTAGGTTCCTAGAGAAAATGGTGGCTATATCTATGTCTGTACCTCTCTATATAGAGAGATATAGAGAATTCTACATCTGCTTTAGCCAACTGGGCAGGTGGGAAAAGGTGTATAGATATAGAAAGGAAAACTTAGTTAGGCACCGGTTGCTTACACCTATAGTCCTTGCTACTTAGGAGATCTGATATCTGAGGATCATGGTTTGAAGCCAGCTTGGGCAGGAAAGCATGTGAGACTCTTTATCTCCAATAAACTACTAAAAAAAAATAAAAATGTTGTAAGTGGTGCTGTGACTCAAGTGGTAGATCCCTCGCCCTGAGTAAAAAAAAGTTCAGGTACAGTACCTAGGTCTGGAGGACTGACCCCCCCCCCCCCAAAAAAAAAAAAAAAAGGAGGAGGAAAGGCTTAGATAGGGCTTACCATCCTAGGCACTTTCATTTAACAGATAGTAAGTAGTACCTACTTGCATACCTGTCTTTTCTGTATATATTTTTTATTGTAAAAATACTATACAGAGGGGTTACAGTTACATGAGTAAGGTAATGAGTACATTTCATCTTGAGTCTCCTTTGTTTTTTCCCCTACCATTCCTTCCCTCCCCACCTTTCCAACTCTTCCCCCCCCCGAAGTTGTAAAGTTCATTTTCAACATAGTGTCTTGTACATCTCATTGTTAAAATGGGTCAACCTATATCCTTATTTCAGCATTTTGTTATTTCCCTTCCCCTCCCCAAATTAGAAAAATTTATATACTAGATTCAGGGCACCGGAATCAAATACAGTGAAAATGGGTTATACTGTGGGGGAAGAACATACAAAAGAAACAAAAAATATCATGTGATACATTATAAGTACATTAAAAACAACAACAAGAAAGGTAAAACCACTTGTGTCTCTATCTTGGGGTTCATTTCGCTTAACATCATCTTATATGGTCATATGTACACAGCTTTTGACCATTCCTGCTTGTCCTAGACATAGACTAGTTATTGCAAATATGGGAAACCATGAGACCTATGTTTCTTTGGGCCTGGCTTACTTCACTTAATATAATTTTTTCCAAGTCTTTCCATTTCCAAACAAATGGGGCAATGTCATTCTTCCTGATGGAGGCATTGAATTCCATTGTATATATATACCACATGTTCTTGATCCATTCATCTACTGAGGGGCATCTGGGTTGGTTCCATATCTTAGCTATGGTGAATAATGCTGCAATAAACATAGTTGTGCTGGTAGCCTTGTTTGTGGTTGTTTGGGTAAATGCCCAAAAGTGGGATTGCTAGGTCATAGGGGAACTCTGTGGAGTCTTTTGAGGAGCTTCCATACTGCTTTGCAAAGTGGTTAAACAAGTTTACACTCCCACCAACAATGCAGTAGGGTTCCCTTTTGGCCACATCCCCTCCAGCATCTGTTGTTATTAGATTTCTTGATTATAGCCATTCTAACTGGGGTGAGGTGGAATCTCGATGTTGTCTTGAATTGCATTTCTTTTATGGCTAGAGAAGTTGAGCCTTTCTTAATTTGTCTATTGGCCATTCTTATTTCCTCTTCAGAGTAGTTTCTCTTTAAATCTTTAGCCCACTTATTTATGGGGCAGTTGTTTCTTTGAGGATTTCTTTTGGGGGGGATTTAGTTTTTTGAGTTCTGCGTATATTTTAGATATGAAACCCTTATCGGTTATATGGCTAGTAAAGCTCTCCCACTCCGTGGGCTGTGTATCTTGCTAGCTATGTCCTTAGCCATGCAGAAGCTCTGCAGTTTCATGCAATCCCATTTGTCCAACCTTTCTTTGATTTGTTGTGTTTCTGGGTCTTTATTAAGAAAATTTTGGTCTGTGTCAAGGAGCCCTAGAGTTTCTCCTATTCCTTCCTATAATGTTTTCAGAGTGTCTGTTTTGACTTTGAGGTCTTTGGTCCATTTGGAGTTGATTCTGATGCAGGTGTTTAACCAATTTTGCCAGCACCATTTAAGAGGCTGTCTTTCTTCCATTCTATTTTTTTAGCTCCCTTATCAAAGATTAGGTGGGTATAGGTCTGTGAGTTCATTTCTGGGTCTTCAGTTCTATTCCATTGGTCCTCAGGTCTGTTCTTGTGCCAGTACCAAGCTGTTTTGATTACTATGGCTTTGGAGTAGAGTTTGATATTTGGCATTGATATTCTTCCAGCACTGTTCAGTCTGCTAAGGATTGTTTTTGCTATTCAGGGTTTTTTATTGTTCCCTATGAATTTTTGGGCTGCTATTTCATTGAAGAATGAGGTTGAAATACTGATAGGTATTGCATTGAATTTGTAGATAGCCTTTGGCAGTATTGCCATTTTTCATGATGTTAATCCTCCCAAGTTTTCATTGTAGAGGTCGTTCACTTCCATACTTGTCTTCTTAAAGCCATTTTTTTTCTTTTGTGCAGTACTGGGTTTGAATTCAGGCACTCCTATCACTGAGCCACATTCTAGCCACTTTTGCACTTGTAATTTTTGAGATAGGGTCTCGATTCCTGCCCAGGTGAGCATCTAGACCTCAGTCTACCTGTTCTAGGTTCCTGATTGTAACTAAGATGACAGGTGCATGCTACCATGACCAGCTAGGGTCTCAGACTTTTCTCTAGGCTGTCCTTTAACTTCTGTCCTTCCCATCTCAGCCACTCAAATTGCTAGGATTATAGATGAGACCCACTAACTTCCCAGCTTCACAGCCACGTTCTTAGGGCTCCTTTTTCTGTAAAAAACATGTTGCTTTTGGTGATGGTGACCTTTATGAGTTTGGGGGAAAATTAGAAGTCCAAAAAATTGCAATGTCGGCTGGGACAGTGGTTTAGAGTGCTTGCCTTGCATGCATGAAGCCCTGGGTTTGATTCCTCAGCACTATATAAGCAGAAAAAGCCAGAAGTGGCACTGTGGCTCAAGTGGTAGAGCGCTAGCCTTGAGCTGAAGAGCTCAGGCCCCACTACCAACCCCCTCCCCCCCCCCCCCAAAAAAAAGGCAACGTTGAATCTGAACTTTATTATTACAATAATAATACAGCTGAATTGAGGTCTTTAGGATGTCCTTATTGATTATTTTTATTATAATTCAGAAATAATTATTCTGTGAAGATTATTTGTGTTTTCTTTTTTTTAACCTCCAGGCCAGCACTCTCGTATGAGAGCCACAGTTTCACTCTTAGCTTTTTGGTGCTTAAGTGGAAATAGGTGTCTTAAGGATTTTCTTGCTCTGGCTGGCTTCAAACCATGATCCTCAGATCTCAGACTCCTGAGTAGCTAGGATTACAAGAATGAGCTATTGATGCCTAGCCTTCTGTTTTAAGGATGCTGTTAACTATGGTGGGAAATGGAAATTGGCAGAGATAAAAGTGTTGACTTGTTGCTAAACAGCAAGGCCATCATGGTCACTCATCCAGTGAAAGTTTACCTATTTTAATACTTTATCAGGATAGAGTTGGTATTAATGAAAGAACCATGAAGGAAACCAAGATGAAATTTGCATTAGTTTGCCAGTTTTTTCCTGTAAAAATTAACTTCTAATAAATGTACATAGTGTTATAATGGCTATGCTTTTAAAATGGTCAGAGTTAATAGACAGTCTTGTCAGGTTCTTTTAAGAAGCAGAATCTTTATTTTTTCATTTATAGGTAAGAAGCGCAGACTCACCTTTATTGAATGTGGGTGTGACATTAATATGATGATTGATCTGGCTAAAGTAGCAGATCTGGTAAGTCAATAGGGGCATTTGGGTTTTTAATGGAGACAACAACAATATAATGGGCTGTTTGAATTTTATTCTGAAGGAATTTTGGTGATTGTCCAGAAATGAGAAGCCAAGTACTGGTAGATATTACCTGTAATACTAACTACTCAGGAGGCTAAGGTTTGAGGATCACCTTTCAAAACCAGCCTAGACAGGAAAGTCCTCTTATTAACCACCAAAAAGTTGGAAATATATCTATGGCTCCTGTGCTAGAACACTAGCCTTGAGCAAAAATGTTAAGGAACAATGCTCAGGCCCTGAGTTCAAGTCCTAGTACCAGCACAAAAACAAGGAAAGAAATGAGAAATATAATGAAAAGAAAGCTACATTAGATATGATTGGAAAGATCAGTGCCTTGTACTTGATATAGGAGTACTTTCTACCATTTTAGCCACTTGGCCACCTTTCTTGCATTGGTTATTTTTAGATAGTGTCTTGCTTTCTGCCTGGGCTAGCCTAGACTATGACCCTCCTATGTGTGGCTCCTCTCCCTATCTAGGGATGAGAGATGTGAACTCCTGTTCTTAATGATTCTAGAACTTTCATTTTAATAATGGTGAAATTAAATACATAGCTTGTCCTAGTGAAGTGGTCAGTTTATCAGTTAGCAAATCTAAATAGTGCTGGGTGCTGGTGGCTCATGCCTGTAATCCTAGCTACTCAGGAGACAGAGATCTGAGGATGGCAGTTCAAAGCCAACCCAGGCAGGAAAGTCCATGAGACTATTACCTCCAATTAACCACCAGAAAACCAGAAGTGGTGCTGTAGCTCAAGTGGTAGAGCACTAGCCTTGACCTGAAGAGCTAAGGGACAGTGCCCCACCCAGAATTCAAGCCCCACAACAGAGAGAGAGAGAGAAAGGAAAGAAGGAAGGAAGGAAGGAAAAAAGGAAGGAAAAGAAAGATCTAAATAGTATATTTTGCATATGGAAGATTTGTAGCCTCAAATGCATTTTCTAACTAGTAGTACTCATTATTGCTGATACTCTATTACCTGTCTTTAAAGCTAGCATGACAGGATGGCAGATACCTTGGTTACTTGTTTTATATATGTATTATTTAGCCCATACTGGGGCTTGATATCAAGGTCTTGTGCTCTTGCTTGATTTTCTCACTCATATTCTACCACTTGAGCCACGCCTCCACTTCCAGCTTTTTTCAAGTATGTTAAGAAGGAGTCTCACAGACTTTCTTGCCTGGCCTTTGTGAATCCTAAGCGCTTAGCCTCCTGAGTAGCTAGGATTACAGGTATGAGCCACCAATGCCTAGCTCAGAGTATTACTTATTTCATAATGGAGATTAGCATTCTTCTCTATTTTCTTCAATTTTGTGACATCTGGAAATTTTTTTTTGAAGTTGAAGAATGTCATGAATGAATTGATAATCACTGACTCAAACCATTTTTCCCCCCACGGGAGTGTCAGTCATGAGGCTTGAACTCTGGGCCTGGGTGCTGTCCCTGAGTTCTTCAGCTCAGCTGAGCCACAGTGCCACTTTTGATTCTCTTAGTGGTTTATTGGAGATAGGAGTCTCACAGACTTTCTGGTCAGGGCTGGCTTTGAATCATGATCTTCAGATCTCAGCCTCCTTAGTAGCTATAATTATAGGGGTGAGCCACCAGCACTCAGCACAAACCATTTTTGACTATTACATGATGGAGGCATAGCTTCTCAAGCAGAAACTCTAATAAATTACGTAGCATGTTAAGATAAATTCATGTAAGTTTGGTATTATGAGTCCTAGTCCTATATAGTAACTCAAAAAATACTCCTTTCCCCCTTTCTTCTTCTGGTTAAGAAGTAAAAAGTGGGGCTGGGAAGGTGGCTCAGTGGTAGAGTGCTTGCCTTGCATGCCTGAGGCCCTGGGTTCGATTCCTCAGCACCACATAAGCAAAAAGAAAAAAAGCCAGAAGCAGCGCTGTGGCTCAGGTGGTAGAGCGCTAGCCTTGAGCTGAAGAGCTGAGGGACAGCACCCAGGCCCAGAGTTCAGGCCCCACGACCGGACCCAAAAAAAAAAAAAATGTAAAAAGTGGGATTTTTCGAAGCTTTCAGATAGTTTGTCTTTTATATTGGGTAATTTAACCAAATCTCCTTGATTTATTATTGAGTTTTTTTCTTTCTTTTATTGTTTATTTTCATTCATTCAGAGTTTTGAGCTGGAAATTTAATGTTCTGGTAGGCATTGTCCAGCCAGAAAGTGGTGCTTTCTCTGTCAAGGCAATCCCCAAGAATCACTTGGCAGGAGTCAGCAAATTTTAAAGGGCTGGAGAGAAGCCATGCATGCCTTGTGGATCAGGGACTTTGTGATGCTTCTGCTTAACCCTGAACTTGTAGTACAAAAGCAGTGTAGATATATGTGTCTTGATGTGGCTGTGTTCCCATAAAGCTTTAGTTGTGTATGTAGACCCTGGGCTGGGTTTGACCCATGAGCCATACTTTGCTGGCCCTAGGTTTAGATGGTCTTTTTGGATAACTTCCTTGAGAAATTGTGTTCTGTTTTTAGGTACTGATGCTCATAGATGCCAGCTTTGGGTTTGAAATGGAAACATTTGAGTTTCTAAATATCTGTCAAGTACATGGCTTTCCTAAAATTATGGGAGTTCTCACTCACCTAGACTCTTTCAAGCATAATAAACAACTGAAGAAGACAAAAAAACGGTTAAAACACAGGTTTTGGACAGAAGTCTACCCGGTAAGAAGAGAAATTATTATTACTGGGCATTAACATTTAAAATCCTTTAGGGGACTAGAGGTATGGCTCAAATGACAGTGTCAGCCTTAAGTGAAAAAGACAAGTGGGAGTGGCAAGGCCCTGTGTTCAAGCCCCAGTCCCAGCATGAAAGGAAAAAATAAAGTCAGAATGAAGAAACATGAATAAACATCTTATTAGGCTTTATTTGCTGAATTTTTTGTATTTATTGGCTCCTGGTCCTTGAAATCTTTCCCTTAAGATAGTTTTTAACTCTGTCCCTTTTACTTCTGTACAACTTACATGAGACATGATTTAATTAAGTCACTAGAAGTTGCTCTTAGTTCAGGACCAGCATCTGTCACACCTCTCTCCCTTCCCCTTGTGGGCCTTGAGCTACAGAGTCCTGTGCCTTGAGACCTCTTCTTGTGACCTAAGGAGCTATTCCTACCAGGCCTTTACCTGGAAGTCCCAAAGAAGTTGACCAGGCCCAGGAAGCAGTGGGTGGCAGCTTCCCTGTTGGTCTCTCTTAGTATTATTGCTTCTTAGGGCCTTCATTTTGCTATGATATTGTCATTATTATTTTTTGTTTGTTTGTGTTTAGGGTGCCAAGCTGTTTTATCTTTCTGGGATGGTCCATGGAGAGTATCAGAATCAAGAGATTCACAATCTGGGTCGCTTCATTACAGTTATGAAGTTCAGGCCTCTCATGTGGCAAACCTCTCACCCTTATGTCCTGGCAGACAGGTAAAAAGGTGGATGTAAATATTTCCTTCCTGGCTCATTTATTTTAAAGCTAAAAGGATCAGAAAAATTAAGAAAGAACAGTAATAATACTTACTTTGTGCCATCAACAGAAAAATATTGTGCCCTCAGGACATATGAGATCTGTACAGAAAACTAAGAGCTGGGACCAGAGGTAGAGCTCAGTGGTGTTGAGCTTTCATGTGAGGTCTGGGTTCAGTCCTTTGCTCTATGAAAAGAGAGACAGCAGAAGGATTTTGGAGGAGGAGAATTTTGCAGTAGTCTCAATTTCCAGTGACCCTCATCCTTGTTTGCTTCAGTCACCCAGTGTGCCTTTACTCTGCATCCTGTTGCTACTGGAAATATTTTTCTCATCCTGGAATCGTCTTTATCTCCTGCTAGGATCCAAGCCACAATAAACTACCCAGAATATAGGTTAATACTCTTCCATGAAGGGTTATTCTGAACATGTTCTTTGACCTCATATGATGCCACTTCCCTTTGTGTTATCTCATGGAATGTGCTCTCACAGGCAGTCTTAGAGAGATGGAGCTGCCTATCCTCTGGTAGATAATGAACCCTACTTTCTGATTCCAGTGTTTTCTTAGTATGCTTAATGAATGAGATTGGTTTTGTCTTTGTCTTTGTTTCTTGTGGTGTTAGGAATTGACCTTAACACATGCTACAAAAGGCTTCTAATACACTCACCCCAGCTCATGAATGAAAATGTGAAGAATTATCAAACCCTGAAGGAAAGCATATAATTATGTTTTGTTTTTGTAGGATGGAAGATTTGACAAACCCTGAGGATATCCGGAAAAATGTAAAGTGTGATAGAAAAGTATCTATTTATGGTTATTTAAGAGGTGCACACTTGAAAAATAAAAGCCAGATTCACATGCCAGGTATTCTATTCTTATAAAATATTCTTTATTTGTAGAAGTCTTGGGGTCACTTCTCAGGGAAGCTGATCAAATAACGAAAACTAGACAGAATCACCTTGTTGAATGAAGGTTTTATTTTATCTATCTATCTGTCTATATGTTACCTATTTTACTGTTATTGGGGTTTGAACTTAGGGCCTGAGCACTGCCCCTTGCCTTTTTCCTCTCAAGGTGGATACTCTACCATTTGAGCCACACCTCCACTTCCAGCTTTTTGGTGGTTAATTGGAAGATAAAGAGTCTCAAGGATTTTTCTACAGGCTAGCTTCATAATCCTTAGATCTCAGCCTCTTGAGTCGCTTGGATTTCATGTATGAGCCACAGTGTCTCGCTTGTTGGAAGTTTTACAGATAGCCCAGCTATGTGTTGAGTAAACATTTGTGTCATTTAGTTGAAGCACAAGTTCCACTGTTGAATGATACCTGTTGTATTGCCATGATTTATTTTCCTTCGGGCATTTTTGCCAAGTTGGCACTTGTTGATTTCCTCTCAGCTGAAGTTGCTTTCTGGGTTTGATCCTCAGGCGTGGGAGATTTTGCTGTGAGTGACGTCAGTTTCCTCCCAGACCCCTGTGCTCTTCCTGAACAGCAAAAGAAGCGTTGTTTAAATGAGAAGGAGAAGTTGGTTTATGCACCTCTTTCTGGAGTTGGGGGTGTGCTATATGACAAAGACGCTGTTTATGTTGACCTTGGTGGCAGCCACGGATTCCAGGGATTGGTAAGAGGGAGGCTTGGTTCTGAATTGCTTTTCTCTATTTCTACTATGAAAAAGGCCCACATACATACTGTAATAATTTAGACGTCGTAGTATCAGCAGGATAGCGTCTTGCCCTTCATACCTCTGGTCCATAGTCCATGGGTACCCTGCCCCTGTGATGCCTACATGGCTCACCTGAACATAGACCAGTGTTTTCCAGCTCTCATTGGTCTTATCCTTTTTTTAAAATTCAGAATGATCTCCTTGTTTTGCTTTTTAAAATGGACTGTTTTTGTGTGTGTGCTCTGGTCCTGGGGCTTGAATCCAGGGCCTGGGCACCATTTCAGAGCTTCTGTAATCAAGGTTAGGTCTCTACAACTTGAGCCACTGCTTGCTTCCAGCTTGTGGTTGGTTAATTGGAGATAAGAGTCTCATGACTTTCTTGACTGAGCAAACTGTGATCTTCAGATCTCAGCCTCCTGAGGAGGGTTACAGGTGTGAATGACCACTACCTGGCTATGACTCTGTTTTTATTTTTTCAGTTTTGAAATGGGATTTTATTTTATTTATTTATTTTTTTAAGTTCTTGCCTTTTAAAATTTTTATCATTTTCTTTTTTTTTTTTAATTTAATTTTATTTTATTTGAGAACATACTGTACAGAGGGGTTACAATTACATGGGCAGGCTAATGCATACATTTCTTACCAAGCATTGCAGCCTCCTCCTTTGTTTACCCTTCACCTCCCTTCCCAGCCTCCCCCCTCCCCCCCACCCAATCCTCCCCCCCCCCCCCCCCCCCACCGACATTGTAAAGCTCCTTTTTGACATGACATTTTGTACTTCTCATTGTTGCAACAGGTCCACCTGAATCCTTAAACGGCTTGTTTGTCCCCATCTTCTCCACAAGTTATACTGACATCAAATATAGTGAAAGCGGGGGGGGGGGGGGGGGGTGAAATGGGATTTTATTGGGTCCAAGATAATTCTTGTGGGCTGGGAAGGTGGCTCAGTGGTAGAGCGCTTGCCTTGCATGCCTGAGGCCCTGGGTTTGATTCCTCAGCACCACATAAGCAAAAAGAAAAAAAAAAAAACTGGAAGTGGCGCTGTGGCTCAAGTGGTAGAGTGATAGCCTTGAGCTGAAGAGCTGAGGGACAGCGCCCAGGCCCAGAGGTCAGGCCCCACAACCGGACCCAAAAAAAAAAAAAAAGTATGCTTTGGGCTGGGAAGGTGGCTCAGTGGTGATAATTCTTGTACTATAGCCTCTACTTAGTTAGATTACCAATTGATAAGAATTTTGGAGTAGCTTAATGAAGGTAACAATTTTAAGCTTTGTTAAAAGAATTTTCTTCTTTCTGAGGCAGTAAGAAAGGTATACAGAAGATGATTTAGGATAATTTTGGTAAAATGTTGAAACAAGTGTGTCACTCCAGGAACCTAGTGCTTCCGTCATTTGCCCTTTCTTGGTGTCCTTGATTGACAGGAGGAGACAGGGCCTACACATGAACTGGTCCAGAGTCTCATTTCCACCCATGCCACCATTGATGCCAAGATGGCTTCCAGCAGAGTGGCACTTTTTACTGATTCCAAACCTCTAGAGTCAGAAGAAGTAGATAACCAAGGGTAAGTCTACTTGTCTTCTATTTTTAATTAATAAAAGTAAAAACATCCATCCTTTTGCGTCATTACATGTTTTTATTTTGCCAGAAATTATTCTGGGCTTTTTGTTTTGCTTTGTATATATTTCTCAGGGATTTTTTGTTGTTGTTATTGTTTGTTTGTTTGACTTGTATTTTTGACTAGTATTTTCTCAAAATAACATGGTTTGTATTCAGTAGAAGTATTCAAGATATTTCTCAAATACTACAAAGTCCTTTCCATAGATTGCTTATAGTTTCCAAGCAGACCAAAAGCCATTTGACTATATTTTGGTTGGCTAGGTTCTGGAGCAGTCAGGGAACTCATTGTGTTATCCAGAGCTGCTCACCTAGTCTCTGAAAGTAAGTTTACTTTAGATTGCATTGTTTTAGTTTGAGAAGGGAAACTATACCTTTATACGTAGTGGATATTTGATAAACATTGCTTGTGCTGTTGTGTTGTGCTGATTTATACTTCATAATCTGGATGTGTATGTGTACGTGTATAGCCCTGGGGCTTGAACTCAGCTTGGGTGCAGCCCCTGAGCTGCTTTTGCTCAAGGCTAGCATTCTACTTTAGCCCCAGCTTCACTTCTGGCTTAGTGGTGGTTATTTGGAGATAGAGTCTTACAGATTTTCCTGCCTGGGCTGCTTTTGAACCATGATCCCCTGATCTCAGCCTCTTGCATAGTACAGGTATGAACCACTGGCACCAGCAATGATAGAGATTTATATGTAGCATGCATAATTAGTTAACATAGCTGGAAGGACTCCACTGCTGCACTGTTTTTGTGTATTCTGGCTGTCCTTGTCTACATTAATACTTCTTTTTCTAACATACTTATGTGCAGAAATTTTATTTCTATGTCTGAGCATATATATATATATATATATATATATATGTATGCCATATTTATGAATGAGCATATATATGTATATATGCCATTTTTGTATGACTGAGCATATATTAATATACTGTCTTCATGTCTGAGATACTGTATATATATACACCATCTTTATGTTTGAACATACATAGATGTCATCTTCATGTGTGTCTGAGCATACATACATATATAACCATTATGTATATCTGAGCATTATATATAATATATATAATTGATGCCAGGCATGTACTACTGCATCTAGCTATGAATTATGAGTTGGAGGTCTCTTAAACATTATTGCCTTGGGTTGTCCTTGAACTGCAGTCCTCCAGATTTTAGCCTCCCAACTAACTAGGATTACAGATGTGAGCCATTTGGTTTCAGTTTTTTTTTTAAGTTATTCTTTTATTTTCTCTTAAGTTCTTCACAAATGTATTGTTAGGAATTGTGCATGATTTTGTTTATTGACCATTCCAGTGTTTATCAAAAAAAAATTTTTTATGCTGTGGCATCTTAAACTATTCCTTGATGTTTTCTATTTCTTTGTATTTTTATTGACTGTTGCCTTTCTAAAGGAGCTTGTTCCTGCACAAGTTGAATTTTTTTGTCACTACTTGGTAATTTAGGCTGTGGATGCCCAAAGAGGAGAAGCAAATGGATATGAAAACTGGTCGAGTACGTCGGAAAGCTGTTTTTGGAGATGAAGATGAGTCTGGAGACAGTGACGGAGATGATGAAGAGATGTCTGAAGGTGACAAGTCAGAAAATAGTGATGATGAAGCAGAAGAGGAGGAGGAAGATGCCGCTGGAACAACCCAAGACAAATATGTGATGATGAGGGGCATCAAGCGCCAAAAGCTGGAAGAAGACAGCGAGGTGGATTTGCCAGCATTTGCTGACAGTGATGATGATCTTGAGCAGAGCTCAGGGGGCGAAGGAGAAGCTGAGGAAGCTGATGAAAGCAGTGAAGAAGATTCTGTTGTAGAAGGAGGGAGGAGCATTTTGGAATCGAAGACAGTTGGAGAAGGTAGTAAGGAAGGACTATCTGCAGCTAACCACCAAAATGACAATCTGAATCTGGGGAAAAAGGCAGCCATTACTACCTCTGATTCTGGTCACTGCACAGCGGAAGAGGCACTGGCATCTGAAGATGAATCAGAAGAAAGCTCTTCGTTCAGTTCAGATGATGAGGATGCAGAAAGCACAGAGATTGGTAGGGAAAAGCTTGTAAAGCCTTCTCATATGGGCAGTGTGCAGGAACTCGGGTCGGAGAATTTAATTGATGAAACCAGTGATATTGAAGATTTACTCAAAGAGGAAGAAGAATATAAAGAAGAAAACAGCTGTCCCACAGAAACTTCTGGTGAGTACCTGCTGCTTTTGGAACCCTGGCACTTGAGGTTTGCTGTCAGTAAGATATGTGTATTTGCAATCCCTGCTCAAGGATTTTGCTGAGGCATGGATTGGATTTTGGGCTGAATTGAAGCTATGAGCCCAAAGAAAGGAGGACTAGCAGGCAGGTGTAACTGATGTGATGTTGGCCTTGGTCTTTCAGGTGCCCTCAAGTGGAAGGAAGACCTTTCCAGGAAGGCAGCAGAGGCTTTCCTGAGGCAGCAGCAGGCAACTCCAAACCTTCGAAAGCTTGTATATGGGACAGGTAAAGAGCACTGGTTCAGAATGAAGTAGAGTTCCACTTTTAATTTTAGATTCTTTTCTGAAAAGGAGATGAGAGATTTGGTCAGAAGCTTAATTTTATGCTTATGTTGTGTTTTTTTTTTTTTTAATTTTATTTCTATATACTTTTTTTTTTTTGGTGCCAGTACTGGGGCTTGAAGTTAGGACCTGGGTGCTGTCTCTTTTTTCACTGAAGGCTGGCATTGTTTCACTTAAGCCAGACCTCCACTTCTGTTTCTTTGATGGTTAATTAGAGATAAGAATCTCACAGACTTTTCTGCCCAGGCTGTCTTGGATTCACAATCCTCAGTTCTTAGCTTCCTGAGCAGTTAAGATTGTAGGCATGAATCACCAGTACCCAGCTTTGGCAGATTTTTTTGGGGGGGACAGGGGGGCCCGGTCGTGGGGCCTGAACTCTGGGCCTGGGCGCTGTCCCTCAGCTCTTCAGCTCAAGGCTAGTGCTCTACCACTTGAGCCACCTTCCCAGCCCCATGGCAGATTTTTTTTGTACTTACATCTCTTAAGGACTGCAGACTGCATGAAAATTTTGATGATAATTCTGTTGATTATGTTATTTCAAGTCCTGACTTGAAGTCCTTTATGAGAATTTTTTGGTAGAATTAATGCCTATTATTTCTGCCTATGAAAAGGTGGTGTTTCCTTTCCTGAGAACGAGAATCCTGTGTTACACAATTTTATAGTTTTCCAATTTTATAGTTTATTAAACTTACCTGTGTGTTCTTTTTGGAAAAATGAATGTAGCAGAATAAGACAGAAGTAAATGTCAACTGGAGAGCTTTGTATGGGGCTTCTCATTGCCACAAGATAAGATGAACTTCTGATTGGAAGGTTCATGTGTACTGATACTGATTTAGATTTTGCTTAAAAGACTCTAAATGAGCAGAAATTAATCAACCTTTGCAGAAACTATTCTATAATTTTTTTTTTTTTCTGTAGTAGAACTTCAGCTAAAGGCTTGATATTTGTGCTCTGCTATTTGAGCCATGACTCGTCCTTTCTACTTTAGTTTTATTTTTGGAATTTGCATTTATTCTCAGGCCACCTTGGACTTCAGTCCTCCCATTACTACTTCCTAAGTAGTTGGATTGATGGGCACATGCCTAGGTTTGTTGGTTAAGATGAGATTTTGTGAACTCTTTTTGCCTGGACCTTAAAACATAATCCTCCCATCTCTTTTTCCTGAATATAAACATGGGTACCACACCCAGCTTTCTCCATACTAATTTAAAGCTCTGCCTTTAAATGCCCCTCCCCTATTCCAGACCCCAATCTTCGGATTTCCTCCTTGTTTTTTTGGTTGCTACCTTTTGGAAAGGTAAATTTTCTGTAAATAACCAAGGGATAGCCCCTGGCCTTTCCTTGTCAGTGGTGAGGTGCTCTTGGTGTTTCTGTCTGGCTCAAGGCCATCATTAAATTGATCACAAAGGGGATCTTATTCCCTGAGTTCTCTGAGGCCTGAACTCTGGGCCTGGGCGCTGTCCCTCAGCTCTTCAGCTCAAGGCTGGCGCTCTACCACTTGAGCCACAGCGCCACTTCCGGCTTTTTTCTTTTTGCTTATGTGGTGCTGAGGAATCGAACCCAGGGCCTCATGCATGCAAGGCAAGCGCTCTACCACTGAGCCACCTTCCCAGCCCATTATTCCCTGAGTTCTAACATTTATGATCTGATAGGTTGGAGATGTGGAGTTCTGATAGAATTTTTGTCTTCAACTTTCTCTCATGGTGTTTTTAGTGACAGAGAACAGTGAAGAGGAAGATGGAGATACAGGAGAAGAACTTGGAGGACTCTTCCGAATCAGCCAGCCTGACAGAGGCTGTAAACATAAGGCCGACTCCTTGGACTGCTCCAAATTTCTTGTGGAGGCACCACATGATTGGGACTTAGAGGAGGTAAGTTCTGTAGTATGCTTAATGTTCATAAGAATTAGGGGGCTCAGTGGTAGAGGGCTTGCCTTGCCTGTGTGAGGCCCTGGGTTCAGTTTCTAGCACTACCAAAAAAAATAGCAATGAAAAAATTAGGTAATCTTTATTTATTTTTTTTGGTGTTGGTTCTGGGGCTTGAATTCAGGTGTGAGCACTGTCTCTGAGCTTTTCTGCCCAAGGTTGGCACTCTACCACTTGAGTCACAGATCCGATTTGGCTTTTCCAGTGGCCAGGCTGGTCACCAAAACTTTCCTGCTCAGGCTGGCTTTGATCCTCAGTCCTCAGATCTCAGCCTCCCAAGTAGCGAGGGTTACAAGTGTGAGCCACTGCCACTTGGTCAGGGAATTGTATTAGAAGAACATAATCTGAATTCAGTATTACTTACCTGTCATTGGCTTAGTTTCAAGTATCCCTTTGCCCTCTTTTCTTTCTTCCTTCCCTTCTCCTGTTTCCCTTACTTTCCCTCCTATCCTCTTCCCCTCCCCTTACTTTTGTGGCTTTGGGGTTTGAGTTTACTAAGCAGGTGTTGTACCACTTGAGCCTTACACCTATCTTTTTGTTTTGTTTTTTAAGTTATTTTTCAGATAAAATCTTGGCTTTTGCTTGTGGATGCTTCAGATTTCAATCCTCCCATTTGTGCTGCCCCATGTAACTGGGATAACTGGCATACACTACCACGCCTGTTTTGTTTAGTTGAAATGGAGTGTTTTTGTCCTGGCTGGCCTTGAATTTTGGTCTTCCTGATCTCAGCCTATGATGAGCTGGGGTTACAAACATGAGCCATCATCCCTAACAAGAAACACTGATTTTTCTTTTACTGGAAAATGTTATTCTAGCATCATGATCTTCATTTATTGCTGCAAGTTGTTTATGGTTTCTATGGTTTTCCAGTGGCCAAAGGTAGAACTTACATTTTTAGTTTATAATCAGTACTAAATCTTACATCTGTATCAATTTTCTATCTGGACACTTAAGTTATTCCCTGATTTAACTTGAAGATGAAAAAAATTAGAAAGTCATAGAACTTGTCATTTATTTGATATCTCTCATGTTCACATCAGAATAGTGATTATACAGTACTTCTAGTATGTGTTATTATAGTAAACTAGTTATTTCCCTAATATTTATTTCTCTCTTTTTCTTTTTCTTTTTTTTTTTTTTTCTGGTGCCGGTATTGGGGCTTGAAATCAGGGCTTAGGTGCTGTCTGTAAGCTTTTTTGCTCAAGGTTATCACTCTACCACTAAAGAACCACAGGTCCACTTCTGGCTTTTTGGTGGTTAATTGACTGGTTTGCAGGCTGAGCTTCAAACCATGATTCCCAGATGTCAGCCTCCTGAGTAGCTAGGATTACAGGCGGGAGCCACCACTTTTCATAAGTGGCCATGGTATTTCACATTTCTTCCAGTAGAGTTTGTCAGCTCCTTCTCTACTTATATTTTGTAATCTATTTGATTATAGGGATCCTAGATGATATACAGTGGTATTTTATTAGGGTGTTAGGCTTCCTGATGCCTACTGCCAATATCATTTCATGTGCTTTTTGGTCATTTCTATATACACTTGGAAGAAATATGTATTTGTATTGGTTGCCTACTTTTAAATTTTAGTTAATATATTCTGATTACCTTATTGGTACATGATCTATTTGGAAATATTTTTCTACCATTCTCTAGGAATGTCCTGTATACATGATAACTGTGGATTAACAGTTAAGAAGAACACTTTGAAAATACTGTTAAAACTTTAAAGATTAGTAAATGAGTAAAATCAGGTTATTTGCAAGGTCCATGAGCTCAGAATATTTTTCGAAATCTCACTAGTGTGACATTTATGTTTTATATTGATGGTACACTCTCATTGTCACAGGTAAGTGCTGTCAGGTCCATATGAAATGAGACTGCCCAGGAAAGGGACATAAGCACTATTGGAAGACAAGCTGATAGTTCCTAAGTCTCATTCCTCCTTAAGGTAGTAACCATTATGGCAGGAAATAGTTCTTAGGAACCAGTCAACTAAGTTCTACTCTCTCTGTGTAGGTTATGAACAGTATCAGAGATTGCTTCGTCACTGGGAAGTGGGAAGATGATAAAGACGCAGCCAAGATCTTAGCCGAAGATGGTAAATAAAGGGCTGAGGGTTTTCTCTTATATCTTAAAATTATCATTAATTAAATAATTTAAAATAATTACATTAATTAAATTAATCAAGTCTGGGGGTACTCTGACTGGCCTTTTATCTTCAGCAAAATATCTTCTTTCATGGTGGTCTTATTTTCCCCCCCTTGCTTAGCTCAGTTATTAGATACTGTCTTTTAAAGAAAAGTGAAAGGTTTTCTGTAAATTTTGCTTAAAATTGTATTTGTACTTGTAGGAATGGTATACTCAATTTCTTATTTTCTTTTGATGGTAGTATATTCACTTGGGAACATTTACAATTAAAAAGCTCATACCAGATTCCCAGCATTGTAAAAACACAAAAACCATTTCATTCTAGAATCCCAGCACCCATTAAAAAAAAAAAATGGAGATTTTTTTTCCCCCTTCTAGTCATTTAAAAATTGTATTGTACAGCTGGGCATCAGTGGTTCATACCTGCAGTCCTTGCTACTTGAGAGGTTAAAATTGGGAGGATCATAATATCAGGCCAGGTCAGGCATATATGTGAAGCTCCTTTTCAATCAAAACCTGGGTGCAGTATGCACACTCATCCTCAGCAAAAAGAGAGGCTGAGAGATCATAATGCTGGGCTAGCTTAGGCAGGAAATTCCCCAAGACCCATCTGAAGGGAAAGAAGCCGGGTGATAGAAACCTTAAATGGGTGGATCCAGGTCCAAGTGCATGCCCAGGCAGAAAGTGAGAATCTATCTAAAAAAATAACCAATGCAACAAAGGACTGGGGGCATGGCTCACAGGTAGAATACCTGCCTAATAGGCACAAAGCTGTGAGTTCAGTCAGACCCTAGCCCTAGGAGGGGAAAATATTACAGTGGCTTATACCTGTAATACCAGATGCTCGGAAGTTAGAGATTAACATAGTAGTGGTTTTAGGCCAGCCAGAACAAAAAGTTAGTGAGACTTCTCAACCAATAAAGCTGGTCATGCATGGTGACACATGCTTGTGATCCCCCAGCTATGTGAAAGGCATATATAGGGTTGCAGTCTAGGTTTGCCTGGGTAGAAACTTAGACACCCTATTTCAAAACTAAAGCCTTGGTGATGACTTTGTATTGTTAACTGCATTGAAAGAATAATTGAATAATTGAAAGAATAATAAATTGGCATCAGTGTGACATTTTGTCCTCCTTTCTAGATAGTCCTTGGTAGATAATCCTTGCAGCCCTTCCTTGAATTATGTGAAAAAGGTAGCTAAGGAACAGCCGTACTAAAAGCATTGTCTGCAATAGAAGGCACTGGAATTGCTGACCAATGATGTTACTGCTTGTGCCCAAGTTTATAGTTTTTTACTCTGTTTCTGTTTTGTTTTTATTATAGGAACTTCTCATCTGTTGTACCTTCTTTGGCTCTTAAGGGAAAAATGTTTAATACCTTTGTAAATATTGCCTTCCTAGAGTTGTTTGCACTTCCAGCATTTTGATGACTAATTAGGATGAGAGTCTCATGGACTTTCCTGCCCCAGCTGTCTTCTAATTGTGATCCTCAATTCACAGCCTCCAGAGTAGCTAAGATTACAGGTGTGAGTCTGCCTACCCGTCTTCCTAGAGTTTTCACCTTGTCTGTTTTTAGAATCTGGAACTGAACCTAGTACCCTACAAATGTTAGAGCACTGATTGGGCTCTGCCTTTACTTTAAGTTCTATGCTTCATACCTATAATCTAAGATTTTCCCTAGGTTGTTACACTGTAATGATGGGTAGGTTACTGTCAAGACTCTTTCATATCAGCTATTACCAAGCCATGGCTGTTTATTCACTCTTTGAAATGTTGGTTTGGAGCTCTCACCTTCAGGTCCATGCCCCCCATCTCTAGGGATGTGTCTCCGATAGTGTCCATCACTGTACCAGAAAAATAGCCTCTGGAAATGTGCATTCATTGATGAATTGCAATTTTAAAAGGATATTCGATAGCTTGTATGCTGATGGCCTGGAATGCAGAGCACACAGTCTGCATGTGGATGGTCTCCGTGGGGCCACATGCGTGGTCCACACAGCACATGGTCTGCAGTGGATGATCTGTGTGGGGCCACATGTGTGGTCCACAGCATAGTCACTCAATACGTTTTTCCTAGAGGAGCTCTACGGTGACTTTGAAGACCTAGAAACAGGGCACGTGCACAAGGGAAAACCAGGCCAGGATTCTCAGGTAAGAGTTTGCTATGGCTGTTCCCAACTTCATCTGCAGTCACCATGTTTTGAGGAAGACCTATTTTGAGACATGCAAATCTGTTGTAGACCAGTTGTGCAGATGATAATGATGATAATGCTTATCATCCCTTCTTACTGTAGTCACTTAGCAAATTCTGAGTGATTCTTCACTCATGGAACTGTAAGCCATGTCTTCTCACCATCATTTTCTTCTTAAATTTGTCATTTAAAAAACAACAAGGGGCTGGGAAGGTGGCTCAGTGGTAGAGTGCTTGCTTTGCATGCATGAGGCCCTGGGTTCAATTCCTCAGCACCACATAAGCAGAAAAAGCTGGAAGTGGTGCTGTGGCTCAAGTAGTAGGGCGCTAGCCTTGAGCTGAAGAGCTGAGGGACAGCGTCTGGGCTCAGAGTTCAGGCCCCACGACCAGAAAAACAACAACAAATTCCCTATTCTCTTCAGTACTGCTTTAGAACCATATCTCTATCAAAGACATTGGTTGGTATCTCATTCATGTTTGATGCGCCCCACCAGATTGGGGAGTGGCAGTTAATTATTGCACACTACTATCTCCTACCAGGTTGTTTGCCATCAAGATTTGTGTATTGTTTTGTTCTCTTCATGATGCTTGTAACTAAAATTTTTGTGGCTCAAATAGAACTTTGTAAATCTGCCATACTATCAACTGTCATCTCAAAAGGTTGCCATAAACATTACATTTTTTCTTGGGGAAATTTTAAGATTGAAGATGAAGAGGAAGAAGTTAAAGAAGAAACTGATCCTAATGAGGAGGAAAGCGCCAAGAAAAAACACTTGGATAAGAAGAGAAAATTAAAGGAGATGTTTGATGCTGAATACGATGAAGGAGAGAGCACATACTTCGATGATCTCAAAGGAGAAATGCAGAAGCAAGCACAGGTGAGAAAGTGCAAGTCTTGTCAGCCTCCTCCCAGAGGCCTACCCACATTGTGAATCCTTGTCTGGGCTCTGCTCTGACCTATCATAGTCTTCTGAGAGCTTTAATCGGAACTTTACCAGAAAAATATCAGTAATTCACACTTTTGCACCTTGGCGCTGAGCAAGCAGAAATGACTGAGACAGTGCAGTGATTGTTACTTCTAGGAGTGAGTTGAGGCAGTGTGCCTTTAAATGCAGGAATAGATTTCACATTCTCATTATTCCTCCCAGATTTGAACTGGGAGGTGATTTGTGACCTGTTTGGCTTATGTACACATAGTACCCTCTAGGGGAGAGAGGGCTTTTTGCAAACTCATTTTACTGAGGTCTGGATATTTCATGTAAGGTCCTGGGCAGAGACTGAAACACACACAGATTGTGGAGATAGTGTATGTGCCTACAGCCTGAGGGTGGTGAGCAGGCTGTTTTTATCTCACTGTGAAGCAGACACAGAGTTGTCCACACTACTAATTGTGGTTGTCTGACTAGTGTTTTGTTAGTGGGGGCACCAGCGATCTTGTTCAGCTTAAGGAACAAATGTATATAGCTTGGAATAACATTGTTGACAGGCCTTGCTCTACCCAAGCCTTCATCTGTCATTACTTAGGGGTTACAGTCTGTGGTTGGTCTTTGACAAAAGTGACTGAGAAGTGGAAAGCTGGTTTTGAAGTCTTTACTTCAGGCCATTTACTAGAATCCTGTGGCCCACTTTAAAGGACTTTAAATTGTCACTCTGAAAGAAGTGAGATCTGGCAGGAGGGAAGGATTTGAGCAGAGGAAGTGGCTCCTCATCCCTTAAGTCAGAAATGGAAGTTATGTATCCAGGTGTGGCCATGGAGGAGGGAGGAGTCAGGGCTGGATATACTTTGTTGGGAAAACAGAGCAGTGAGAAAGTAAGATTGACAGAAGTTTCTGGAAGAATGAGTTGTCACAGGCAGGCAGGAAGCCCAAGCCCTTCTTGACTTGGATAGGTTTGAGATTATGTTTAGACAAGTGGAGTGTTGAGTCCAGCCAGGGCCTTCGATGGACAGGCCTCATCATGGAGATGTTGCTTTAAGCCTGGGGAGTGACTGGGCACCATGTACGATGGGAAAGAGCTGGGATGGGGTGGAACTGAGCAGAGACTAGCAGAGGCATCTCAGAGAGCAGGTGGCTCGCTAGACACAGTTGTATGTTTAAATTTTAATTTTATGCTCATAGATAATCATGGTATGATAAGAGTTTTTATTGCTTGCATGCATGCATATGTCTGAATTTCAGTCTTATGCTCATAGATGATCATGGTATGATAGAATTTTATTGTTTGTTTCTTTCTCTCACATACAGCTTAACCGAGCAGAATTTGAAGATCAAGATGATGAAGCTAGAGTCCAGTATGAAGGTTTTCGACCTGGGATGTATGTCCGAATTGAGATTGAAAACGTTCCCTGTGAATTCGTGTTGAACTTTGACCCCCACTACCCAATGATTCTGGGTGGTTTGGGCAATAGCGAGGGCAATGTGGGGTATGTGCAGGTAGGTACGTACCCTTCACTGTATGCTTGACCTCTGAGCTCATTTGGATGCACACTGTTTTATCCAACCCTTCTCTCCTCAGATGCGTCTGAAGAAGCATCGTTGGTATAAAAAAATCCTCAAGTCCAGAGATCCAATCATTTTCTCCATAGGCTGGAGGAGGTTTCAGACCATCCCACTGTATTATATTGAAGACCACAATGGAAGGCAAAGGCTTCTAAAATATACCCCACAGCACATGCATTGTGGAGCAACCTTTTGGGGTAAAGCATTATTGCAATGATTAATTAAATTAAATTAGATTATTGCAATAGATTAATCTATACCCTTTTAGCTCTATTATTGCAGTTTGCTCTTTTCCTTTCATGGAATCCTGATTCATAAGATTTGTCTCTCTTGGGGGAAACTGTTTGAAGTGGAATATGTAAAATAGAATCTAAGTTTTGTGGTTTACTGTGTGAGTTTTTCTTGTTTCTTTAAGGTCCTATCACCCCACAGGGAACTGGATTCTTAGCAATACAGTCTGTCAGTGGCATAATGGTAAATATCTGAGGTTTTTACAGATTATGTTTGAGAATTCCTTAATACAAATTACATTTGCAAGTTGAAATCTACTTAAATTGTAGTATATAAATTTCTCTTTGGCTTTTCTTTTGGGGGGGTAAAAAAGACAAAGGGTTTGCTGTATAGCTCACAGTACCCTTGAACTCACTATATCACCCTGCAGGCCTAGAATTTGATTACTGGGGTTACAAGCATATGGCACCATGGCCAGCTTTTCTATAATTCTTTAAGTAGAATGTGAGAATAGAGAAGAGGGAGCTAGAAGGATTTTGTTCTTTGTTTAAGTTCCAGCATTATATCAATAAGTGTCTAGACATGATTACTCCCTGCTAATGTTTGTTGGGCAAAGTATTTTCATAGTCTTAGACCAGTCAGAGCAAGTTTTATTGACCCCCCATTTAACAGGAGAAATTAGAGTAATTGCTAGATATAATCCATCTCAATGGTCCCAAACAATTTCTTAAATAAAACTAATTCTTTTTCATTCCAAATTGATTCTTATTGTGAAATAGTGTTAGTATGAAATTACCCTCAGGCAAGTATTGGAGTCACCATCATTAATTAGTATGCTACATGGTATAACAATTTTAGATTACTTTTGTTAAAATTCTATTTTCCATGTTCACAAGTTCTCTCTTTTTTCTTAGCTAGTTTTAAGCAAACTAAACTTTGGTAATTTATTGCATCACAGAAATACAGTTTTTCTCTTGATTTGATCCTATATTCAGACTTCCTGTTTTTGCTTTTTAGCCTGATTTCCGGATCGCTGCCACTGGAGTTGTCCTTGATCTGGATAAATCCATAAAAATTGTGAAGAAATTAAAGCTTACTGGTTTCCCATTCAAAATTTTCAAGAATACTTCTTTTATTAAGGTCTGTATATATATTTAGATATTCACAAATGGATTGTGGTTAAAGCATATTGGATAATGGACAAGAGTGCAGTGCATGTGGAGGATCCCCTGTCTGAAATGTTTGTGACCAGAAGAATTTCATATTCAAGACTTCCTTTAAGACTTCTGAACATTCATTTGCATATATAACAAGATACCTTGGGATTGGTCCAAATTCATTTGTACTTCATGTGCAACGCATCAGCATAGTCTAAAGACCATTTTGTACAGTATTTTTGATGCTGGGTTTTGACTAAAACATGGGGTCAGTTAAATTTTCTATGTTTGTATATGTCAGCACTCAAAAAATTTTGGGCTTATTCCTCTAGAGTGTTATTTTTCTAATGTTTAAGAAAAAAATTGCTTGACAGGCTCACACCTAAAATCTTAGCTACTCAGGAGGCTGAGATCTGAGGATCACAATTTGAAGCCAGCCTGGGCAGGAAAGTCTGAGACTCCCAATTAACTGTTCAGAAAATGCTACAAGTGGTGCTGTGGCTCAAAGTGGTAGAGTGTTAGTCTTGATCAGAAGAAGCACAGGGACAGAGTCCAGCTCCTGAGTTCAAGTCCCAGGACCAGCACAAATAAATAAATAAATGTGCTTAAATCTCTGAATGTGAGGTCAAACAGATAGTTGACACTAATGCTGAAAATCCATAATTTGATCTACTGCTTTTGTTTTCTGCCTATTAGGTTTGTGAAAGCAAAGGAGAAAAATCAGGCCAGTGTGTAGTCATCCTAGCTCCTAGGGAAGTGGAGGCAGGATCATAGTTTGGGGCCAGCTTTGGAAAAGTAAGACCTCATTTCATAAAATCCAAACAGAAGTGTAGGAGGCAGTAATATAGGAGTACTTGCCTAATAAGCTTGAGACCTTGTAGTCAAACTGCTCAGTACAGTAAAGTAATAAATAATAGCAATAATAGGAGAGAAAAAGAAAGGAAAAAAATTAGGTTTGTATAATAGTGCAGTAAGAAGTTTAAAAAGTAGTTCATCACATAAATGCTTTGCAATGTGAAGAGATGAGAGGATGTTTGAGAAGAATTTATTGAAAGTTTCATGGATGGAAAAGGATGTTTCCATTAAACAAAGAGAGTGTTAAAATCCCAAAGGCTGGGGATGTAGCTGAGTAACAGAGAGCTTGCCAGCCGGTGCTAGGCCCTGAATTTGATCTTCAGCATTGAAGGAGGTAAGGGGAAAAAGCAAAGAAAACTGCCATAAAATATCAGTATCCAATGTTAATATCCAGTAATGATAACACTGGCCTTTTATCTCCATTTATTTATCTATCTATTTATTTTTGTCTGTTGTGGAGCTTGAACTCAGGACCTGGTCTTTTTGTGCTCAAGGCTAGCACTCAACTACTTGCACTCAACTACAGTGCTACTTCTGGTTTTTTAGTGGTTTATTGGAGAATAAACCACTAAAAGAGAATAAAGGGATTTTTCTGCACAAGCTGGCTTTGAATTGTGATCCTCAGATCTCAGCCACCTGAGTAGCTAGGATTACAGCCTGGTATTTGTGTTTGTTTTAACAAAAACCCAGAAACTATATTTGCAATTAAGTAGGTAAAGTGTATGATTTTATATTGTTTTTTTGTTTTTTTTTTTTCTGTAGGGAATGTTTAATTCTGCCTTAGAAGTTGCCAAGTTTGAAGGGGCTATGATTCGAACTGTCAGTGGAATAAGGGGGCAGATCAAGAAAGCACTCCGGGCTCCAGAAGGAGCTTTCCGGGCCACCTTTGAGGACAAATTGCTGATGAGTGGTAAGAACCTTTTCTAGTCTTGTTTTTTTGTTGTTGTTGGTTGTGGTACTTGAACTCTGGGCCTCAAGGTGAGCACTCTACCACTTGAGCCACAGCACCACTTCTGGTTTTCTGGTGGTTTATTGGAGATGAATGTCTCATGGAGTTTCCTGCCTGGGCTGGCTTTGAACTGTGATCCTCAGATCTCACCTCCTGAGTGGCTAGGATTATAGACGTGAGCTACCAGCGCCCAGCTCTTTTCTAGTCTTTTTAAGACATTATGGTGGATTAACCACACTCAATTTATAAAATAAACATTACTGGACATAAAGGCCCAGATAGACTCCAACAGAATAATAGTGGATGACTTCAACAACCCACTGTTGCTAATGTACACAGGTCAACTAGACCAAAGAAAATGCAACGAACTAACTTTGGAAGTAAATGATATAGATTCCTGGATCAGCAGCCATAGAATACATATTGATCTTAGCAGCCCATGGAACTTTTCTCTAAACGAAATCATGTTTTAGGACATTAAGCAAGTTGTTTCCTTGATTTGTGTTTTGGCTTTTGTGCCAGTACTGAGGCTTGAACTCAGGACTAGGCACTGTCACTTAACCATATCACTTGAGCCATACTTCTGTTTCCAGCTTTTTGCAGTTTAATTGAAACTAGGAATCTTTGGATTTTTCTGTCAAGGCTGGCTACAAATCTCAATCCTGGGTAGTAAGATTATAAGTTGAGCTTGTATGATAACCAGCATAAAGCAAGTTTTGAGAAATACAAGAAAATTAAAATAACCTCCTGTATTTTGTCAGATCACAATGGTTAAAACTAGAAACTGTTTTTAAAAGCCTAGAAAATACTCAAAGAATAATATTCAACAGAGACTAAATTGTACACTTGAACGATCAGTGGGTAGCTGAAGAAATAAGGAAGAAAAAATATTCCTCGATTCACACAAAAATGAAACCTTAGCTTACTAGAATCTTTGGGAAACAGCAAAAACAATATACTAAGCAAAGTTTACAGTAATGCACACATTTGTTAAAAAAAAAAATCAGATCACAAAATAAATGATGATGTACCCCACGCACTTAGAAAAACAAGAACCGAAAGCAATAGATAGAAGTACTGAAGATCAGGGCACAAATTAAAGATTACAAAACCGCATAATCAATGAAATAACAGTTCTTTGAAAAGATGAACATTATTGACCAATACTTAGCAAAACTAACAAAAAAAAAAAGAAGATCCAAACTAATAAAATTAGAGATGAGAAAGTAGATATAGGCAAGTAGCAATGAAATTCAAAGGCTTTTTAGGGAATATTTCAAAAACTGTGTAAGTCTAGAAACGAGTAAATTTCTAGACACATGTCTAAGGTATAAACCACTTCATCAGCTCTTTAATGATGAATGCTACTGAGAGAGTGGTAGAGTCTGCCAGTGAAAAAAACCCAAGCCAGCAGCATGTGCTTGTCATCCCAGCCACTTAGGGATAGATGTACAAATAACATCATAGTCCAGACTGGCCTGGTATACAGTGATACCCTACCTGAAAAATAACCAGAGCAAAAAGGGCTGATAGAGTGGATCCAGTGGTAGAACACCTGCTTAACAAGTGTGAGGCCCTGAGTTCAAACTCCAGTACTGACCAACAAGGGAAAAAAAAACTGTCAATGATCCATATACTATTTCCTCAAGTAGAAAGGAACTTACTGCTTTGATACCCAAATCAGATAAGAACACAACAAAGAAAAACTATACACCAATTCCCCTGATGAACAAGACACAAATTTTCAATAAAATACTTGTCAACTAAATTCAGATTATACATCATGATCACATGGGTTTAATCTCAGTGATACAAAAGAATAATTCAAAATAAAAAAAAGAATAATTCAAAATAGACAAATTTAATACAGGGCATAATCAAGATAATGGTCTAAAATGACATGATCATCTCGATAGATGTAGAGAAAGCTTTTTGATAGAATTTACTGTCCTTTCATGATAAAAGTGTGAAGTATCCAGGAGCAAAAGGAGCATCCCTCAACATAAATAAAGGTTATATACTACAGTATACTAAATGGGGTTAGGAGCTTGGTTAGGTGTCCATGTCTCCCCTTTTACTCAATATAATGCTTGAATTCTTAGAACAGTAAGGCAAGGAAAAAAAGAGGGACATAGGGAATAAAAATTTTTCAGATAATATGATCCTATCTTTAGAAGACTCTAAAGATCAAGAACTTTTACATATGACAAACACTTATCAGAGTAGCAGAACTCAGTAACATTTTTGTGTCCCAGTAATGAGCAGGCTGAGAAATCAGGAAACAGTTCTATTTGTAATAGCTTAAAAACAAAACAAGAATAAAATAAGGGGATAAAAGACTTCTACAGTAAAAACTAAGTTAAGGGAGAAGTTGTAGAAGAAAGTAAAACATGGAAAAGAAAAGTACCTCCCAAATTCATAAACAAGGAAGAATTCATATTGAAAAGCAGTCTACAAATTTAATGTCATCCCCATCAAAATCCAGTGACCTTCATTATAAGCACAAAAGATGCCTAGTAGCCAAAGCAATCTTGAGCAAAAAGCAAGGCTGGAGGCTTTACAATACAGCAGTTCAAACTATACTACAGCGCCATAGTAACAAAAACAGCCTAGTACTGGCACAAAACGATAAAAAGACCAGTGAAACAGAACATTGTGCTATATGTGTACTATAGAGTATTATCCAGCTATAAAAATAAAATTACCTTATTTGCGAGGAAATGATGGTTATGTTAAAATAAGCCAGATGCAAAGACAGGTGTCATATTTTCTTCTAGTTATAAAGAAAATAGAACATAATGGGGACTGTTTGGGAAGGGCAGGAACCAGGGTAGAGTGAGGGGAAAGAGGGTGGAGGCTAATTGGAGTATGTTGTATGGCAGTATGAGGAGGACATCATAATAACTTTCTCCTCCCACCCCTCCTTCCCCAATTTTCAGGAGGGTCTGGGTGTGGTGGTACATGTTTGTGATCCCAGCTACTTTCAAGATAGGTATCTGGAGGACTGTGATTAAGGTTAGCAGCTGTGAAAAAGTTAGCAATACTCCTGTCTCAACCAGTAAGCCACATGTGGTAGGGTACGCCTGTGATCCCAGCTACCTGGGAAATATGAGTAGGAAGACTGCATCCAGATTCAGCTCCAGGCAAAAACAGGTCTGCAGCAACAGGGTCTGAGAACATGGTTCACAATGTAGAGCACCTGCCTAGCAAGCATAAGGCAGTGAGTTTAAGCCTCCAGAACAGGATTATTTTGCATGCATGGAAGATTAAGAGTGGGTAGGGTGAGGAAAAGGGGGAGTAAGTAATATAGGTAATAAATATGATCAAGGCATATTATATATATGTATGTATGGAAATTCCCAAACCTCACATTGTATGATTAATATGAAGTGATACGCATGGTGCTGGTGGCTCACGCCGGTAATACTTGCTGCTTAGGAGCCTGAGCTCTGAGGGTCACAGTTCAAAGCCAGCCCAGGCAGAGACTTTCCTCCAGTTACTAGCAAAAAAACAGAAATGGAGCTGAGGCTCAAGTGGTAGAGCACATTAGCTTTGAGTACAAAAGCTAAAGGGCAGCACCCAGGCCCTGAGTTCAAGCCCCAGGACTAGCATAAAAAAATTTTTTAAAAAAGATAAAATGGTGAGATAAAGACAATGTGCATGTCTGTTGTATCTGATTTGTGGTAGGAGTTCAAGTCTTTATAAAGCCAGAGGGAACTCAGTTCTCTCCAGATGGGCATCTCTCACTATAAGCAGTTTGTGGTATCTGCAGCCTCTTGGTTCACACCCAGACTTCTGCCATAGAGTTTTTGTGGTTGAGCTTTCCTCTCAGGCTCTGTGCAGCTAGCTAGAGACGCCTGGGGTGATTGGGAGTGTGTGATGGCTATGAGTCTTTGGGAAATGTTCAAGTTCATCTCTACTGTAGATATCGTCTTCATGCGAACGTGGTACCCAGTCTCCATTCCCGCCTTCTATAACCCAGTAACGTCCTTGTTGAAACCTGTGGGTGAGAAAGACACCTGGTCAGGAATGAGGACAACAGGCCAACTCAGGCTCGACCATGGCATCAAACTAAAGCCGAACAAGGACTCACTGTATAAGGTACAGATCACTTACATGTGTCAGTGAGCCAACACCTGTGTTCACATGAGTCACACCTGTGCTTTCATATATAACATATGCTTTGAAGTCTTAACATTAAATCAGATACAACAATTGTGATGCATAGAGTACTTTGGGAAAGAAAAAAGGCAAGTACTTTTCACTGGATTGGGAAGAATAAGTCAATTTTATTATGTGTATTTGAGGTTTATATCATAACATAGAATGAATAGAGATAGCAAAGTTGTCACTGTAATGAAGCAAAGTAGAGTTTCTGCCATCTCCCATGGCTGCCATCTGTGTGATGAACAGTTAGAATGTATTCAGCAGCAATCCCACATTTAACTCATGTTGTAATTCTGATACAATACATCTGTAGCCCTAGGCATCCTCTATGTCTTCCATTTTAAACCTTTGATCTATATTTCCCCCATTTCTTCTTAGCCATTTAAAAAAATGTATAATTTTTTTCATATAGTTGTACAAAGGGTTTTCAGTTCTACTTGTCAGATTATGAGTGCATTGCATCTCGATTGGTATCACCCCTTCTCTGGGGCTCCCTCATCTCTTGGTCATTTTTATGTCTGCTTGGCAAAATGTTTATTCAGGTCCTTTGCCCATTTTTTAATTAGGTTATTTTATGTGTGTGTGGTGGGGGTGGTTTTGAGGATTGAATCCAGGCCTCACATATACTAGGTAAGTACTAACATTCCACTCACCTTCTTCCCTGGGTACTTCCCTGCTTGTTTTTCTATTATTGTAAATGTTTATGAAGACTGATTATTGAACCTTTACAGATAAATGGTTTGCAAGTAATTTTGCCCAGTCAGTAGGTTTTCTTTTCATTTTGTTGGTTGTTTCCTTTGTGGTACAGGAGATTGTTAGTTTGATGTGGTCCCTCTTGTGTATTTTTGCTTCTTGTATCCTAGTTTTTGGTAGTGAGGATGTCAAGGAGTTTTCCCCGTTCTTTTCTAGGGAATTAGGTTTTTGTTGTTTTTCAGCCATCTTCACTTGTGTATGCTGTAAGATAAGGGGTCAGTTTCTTTCCTTTACATGCAGAGGTCTAGTTTTCTAGTGCTGTTTTCGAGGTGGAGGTGATGTGCACCTATACTAGGGCCTGAGCGCTGCCCCTTAGCATATTTGCTCAAGGCTGGCGCTCTGCCACTTGAGCCACAATTCCACTTCTGGCTTTTTGCTGATTAATTGGAGATAAGTCCCATTCCTCAGCTCTCTGTCCCGATCTTGGAGTGCAGACGTGTGCCCCCAGCGCCTGCCTTCTAGCGTTCCACGTTGTGCCTCCTCCTGACTGCTGTAGAGCTTCTTGACAGTTTAGCTTATTAGTTGTTATTAATCAGGAAATGTGATGCTGCCTTCAATTTTATTTTTCCTTTTTTAGTCATTTTGAGTAGTGTGTGTGTGTGTGTGTTTCCAAATTTTAGGATAAGCCATTGAGCTTATTTTTGCCAGTATTAGGGTTTGAACTGAGGACCTCATGCTTGCTGAGTTTGTGTTCTACCACTTGAGGCACCCCTTCATCCTGGCTTTTTGCTGATTATTTAGGGGATGGAGTCTTACAGATTTTCCTGCCTGGGCTGGCTTGAAACCATGATCCTGAGATCTTAGCCTCCTGAGTAGTTAGGATTATAGGCGAGAGACACTAGTGGTTTGCATATTTAAAACATCCTGGTGTAATCTCTTCAATGTGTTGTTGCACTCAGTTTACTAATGTTTCATTCAGGATGCTTGTTTTGGAATTCATCTTTGGATTAAGTAGTAGGTGACATTGGCCTCAAAACCTGAACGTATTGCCTCTACTCTAGTTCTGTTTTTTAGAATTTGAATGTTTGGTATGACCCATTTATGAAGTGTCTACTCCTAGACTTTTCTTGTTAGAAAGTTCTTAATGGTTTCTTGTTATTGGTCTGCTCAAACTTTGCATTTCTTCCTGATTCTGTCTTGGTAGGTTATATTTTTCTAGGAATTTATTCTACTTGCATATATTTTTTTCATATAGTTCTTTTTTGTTGTTTTGAGTTTTGTTGTTTTTCTTGTGTGCCAGTTCTGGGGCTTGAACTCAGGGCCTAGGTGTCATCCCTGAGTTTTTGTGCCCAAGGCTCGTGCTCTACCACTTGAGCCACAGCTCTACTTCTACTTTTTGATAGTCACTTGAAGATTAGAGTCTCATTTTCCTGCCCTGGCTGACTTAAGTCTTAGCCTCCTGAGTAGCTAGGATTTACAGGCATGAGCCACCAGCACCCAGCTCAGTTAAACTTCTTAATTGGGGTCAGAAATGGCCACCTGTTGGCTGCTGGGGAAGAACTGTACCCTTCATCCAGAGGGTAATACTCAAAATGGGAAATAAGATTTTCTTTGGGAGGATGAGAATACCACCTCAGTGCCCCAAAAATGAGGCCTGAGTTGTCCATTAAAAGAAACTTTGAATCTGTTTGTTTTGATACAGACTGTAGGCCCTGCGGTCTTTAAACCTGTAATCTTCTTTCCTCAGCTTGCCAAGTGCTGAGATTACAGGCATGCAGCACCACACCTGCTTCTCAATCTATTTTTAAGCTCTGTGGATATAGTTTCATTACATAGATAGGGCATGGTTGATTTCTTAAAGGATTATAAATATGATTTGCATGTACCTCTGTTTGCCTAGACACAAGGATTTCCCTCAAGGCAGTCCAAATGGGATGGTGATTGAATTCTGATGTGTGGTGGTCAGCAGACAAATGTTACTAGTTCCATGGAAAAGTTGATCCATTGAGATTTATGCAGAAGGTTTAAAAGCATATAGATTAATTTAACTATTTCATTGTTTTTGCTTTGTCTTTTCAGCCGGTCCTGAGGCAAAAGAAGCATTTTAATTCACTACACATTCCAAAAGCTTTGCAGAAGGCTTTACCATTTAAGAACAAGCCCAAGACCCAAGCGAAGGCAGGCAAGGTGCCAAGGGACAGGCAGAGACCAGCTGTCATCCGCGAACCCCATGAGAGAAAGGTACTGTCCGCAGGATGCTCACTGCTCAGTGCATATGGATGTGAAAGTAGTGATTGCTTTTTGTTGTTGGTGTTTTGTTTTGTTTTGTTTTGTTTTCCAATATTTTGTTTGGTGTTAGTAGGGGGGGGGGGCTTGAACTTAGGGCTTGAGTGCTCTCCCTTAGCTTTTTCCATCAAGGCGGTGCTCTGCCACTTGAGCCACACCTCCACTTCTGGCTATTTGCTGCCTATTTGAAATAAGGGTCTCATGGACTCTTCTGCCTTATCTGGCTTCGAACCACAGTCCTCAGATCTCAGCCTTCTGAGTAGCTAGGACTGCTGGCATGAGTACCTGGTCACTCAGGAGAGGGGATTGTTTGAGTTTTTTTGAGACAGTCTTTTTCCCATTGGTGATCCTCTGGCCTGTGCTTCCACAGTGCTGCAGTATATGGCATGTGCCAGCAGGCCTGGCTCACAGTTGGCATTTCTCCTGCATTGTCAGTCTTTCTCACTAAAGGATGAAACCCAGACTTATGCAAGGCCCTAAAATTGCAAATTGGAGGGCCAGACTTTGCATCCTCCGGAGAGTCGTGCTGCCCGTCATAGCTGATAGAATGGGGAGTACCAGCCACACACACAGCTGGTGAAGCACTCTGCCCAGGCAGGTTGTGTGCCCACAGAGTGGTGCACAGAAGTGGTTTCATAGCAGAGGCACAGTACACTCACAGCGCCATCTCTATGCAGACTGCAGTTCCTAGCTCAGGTGACCTTCCACTAGATTGATCATTCACTGGGTTCAGTAAATGAACCTACTTTTGGTACCACGCATTGGCCCTGAAATGTCACTCACACGCTGGCTATCACTGAGAATGGCTGGGCACTCACTGCTTTTATCCCTCTCAGATCCTGGCTCTGCTGGACGCCCTGAGCACTGTGCACAGTCAGAAGATGAAGAAGGCCAAGGCACAGAGGCACGTGCACAACCAGGAGCACGCAAAGCTGAAGCAGAAGGAGGAAGAGGAGAAGCTCAAGCGGCAGAAGGACCTCAGGAAGAAGCTCTTCCGGATTCAAGGACAGAAGGAGAGAAGAAATCAGAAGTCTAGTCTGAAAGGAGCTGAGAGCAATTTACCTAAGTGAGCCCTTAGGCCTCTGTGACCATCCCTGAGAGGTGGATGGTCTCCAGTGTCATGGTGCTGATGTCTGCCATGCTGGGACGAGGACCCGAGAGAGAACTCTCAGCTGGACCCATCACCCAGACTGCACCAAGGGGAGGAGCCCTGGAGAAGGCAGAGCTGGTGGCACTGAGCGGTTCGGAGCAGTGCAACTTTGGGTTATATGAATTGTCTCACGTTCTTTCCCCTGTCTGTGGAATTATTTTGTGCTATAAAAATGCTATTAAATATTTTTCTGTTAATTTTGTTACAGTAGTTTTCATTTGGAATCAATGCCTGATAGTTGCTTGTAAAGAAGTGTTTACCCTAGGCGCTGGTGGCTCAGACCTGTAATACTAGCTACTCAGGAGGCTGAGATCTAAGGATCGTGGTTCAAAGACAGCCTGGGCAAGGAAAGTTCATGAGTTTAACCACCAGAAAACCAGAAGTAGGGCCATGACTCAAGGTCGTAGAGTGCCAGCTTTGAGCAAAACAGCTCAGGGTCCCAAAATAAAAAGCAGTGACAACAGGGGATAAACCAAAAGAAATAACTTCATACAATACATTTAAAAAACAAAAACAACCTCTTGTTTCCATTTCTTGGAGTTCATTTCTGTTAGTATTATCAGTACTCTACATGATCAGTGGAGTTTCTCTAGTAACAAACTATAGAAATAACCGCTGAAAGTAGCCTTTGGATTAGGTTTTGTTGTTGAAACAGAAAAGGATATATTTACTTTGGCTTGTACATTACAGGTTTCAATCCAGTCAGTTGGCCTTGTTTCTGAGCTGAGGTAAGGCAGAATGTCATGGCAAAAGGTTAAGGTGAAGCAAAGTGGCTTACCTCATTGTGGCCAGGATGCAGGAGACAGAGTCAGACAGAGATAGGAAAGGTCCCTGGATTGAGCTGAGTCTTTCCAGGGCCCCTTTGCACTTCCCAATAAATTCTTGATTCATGAATCCAAAGCTTCATGAGCCAGTCCTTTCCCTCCAGCCCTACGTGTGAACACTGCTGTAGTGGGAACCAAGCCTTGGATGCATGAGCTGTTGAAGGATTTCATGTGCCTCACACACGTGCCATACAGTGAGCATAAATCTGACCCAGTTTCAACTATGTTCCTTGTACCATTATACATTCCCTCACTTTCTGTCTATATAAATTAGAACTTGGCTTATAGAATACCTTCCTTCTGATTATGTTGTCCTCACCTTTTAAGGCCTGCTGGAACTTGAATTTATAGGTCTATAGCAAATAGGGATTGTGGAGGTGGGTTCTGAGGAGACAGCATTGGGTTGTATAACACCTGCCTCTGGGGAAACCATTGTAGCTTCCTCTTGTAACTAGGATTAATTCCCTCCCCTCCCTCACCCCAGATGGGGGCAAGAACACCTATTCCACTCAGAAGTTCTGTCTACAGGGACTGTCCTAAGACACATCTTCAAGAACTCACTTCTCCCCAATACCTTACTTTAAAAGTAGACAACCTCGGGCTGGGAAGGTGGCTCAGTGGTAGAGCACTTGCCTTGCATGCATGAGGCCCTGGGTTTGATTCCTCAGCACCACATAAGCAAAAAGAAAAAAGCCAGAAGTGGTGCTGTGGCTCAAGTGGTAGAGCACTAGCCTTGAGCTGAAGAGCTAAGGGACAACACCCAGGCCCAGAGTTCAGGCCCCATGACTGGACCCCCCAAAAAAAGTACACAACCTTGTAAGGTGCGCGCTCTCTCTCTCTATATATATAAACAAATGCATTCTGCATTTGTTTTTCAGCAGTCTCAGCCCTGCAGTTACAGGAGTTAAGAATCTGCAACAGGGCAACAGAAATTTTCATACTATTCAGGAGAATTTGGATTCCCAAGCTTTTCCTTTTCCCTTCCCACTTTGCCCAGTAATGATGGTCTCTAATATATTCATATATGGATGGCATGGCCTGCCAGTGATCTGCTACTGAGAATATCTCAGAAAAGCAGAGAACCAGTTCTAGAAACCAGAACCAATTTAGAAAACATCCTCAAAATTCTATTCCTCTAGGCCCATTCTCTGCACTGAAAATCTGTTGAGGGTTCTTGAGAGAAACAGAACCAATAGGGTAATTGTGTCACCTGATAATGGAAACAACTCTGAGATCTATAGTCAACAAGTTGGAGTCCTGTGAGAGCCAATAGTAAAGTTCTAGTCCATATTGGAAGACTTGGGAAGCTGGAATGTTCATCGTATATAGCTCCCAATTCACATGCTAACAGGCGCATGAACCAAGAAAACCCTATTAGTTTGAGTCCAAAGACAGGAAATACCTAAAGTCCTACTTCAAGCAAGTCAGAGATGTGTTAGTCCTTGCTTGACCCTGGTTGGGGGCACAGCCATGATTAGTAAGCAGCAAGATAGAGAAGTAATTTAATCCCATTTGTGGGATGGAGGGCTGAAAGGGAACCCTAGGGAACTGGGAAATGCCCTGGAAACTGGGAAGTCATTCAGAAATGTGACTCTAAAACATTTCCAAATTCCCAGCCTAATGAAGGGGCCAAAGGTACCTCAAAGTACTTTTGTAAGAGTGCTGCTCCTAAATACTGGCATCTGGAACCAGGTGCCGGTGGCTCACACCTGTAATCCTAGCTACTCAGGAGGCTGAGATCTGAGGATTGCAGTTCAAACCAGCCTGGGCTGGGCAGAGAAGTCCATAAGACTCTGATCTCCAATTAACCAGCAAAAATCAGAGTGGTGCTGTGGTTCAAATGGTAGAGCACTACCTTTGAACACAAAGAGGGTCAGGGACAGCGCCTAGGCTGTCCCTGGGCCTGTTTAAATAAAGAAAAGAAAAGATTGTCATTGAGGTTGTCAAGTCCTTTCCAACGCAAGGTGAACTTACCCAAACATCTGAAGACCTAAACAGAGCAAACAGAAAAAGCACGTAAAAGGGAATCATCTGATCTGAATGCTTGCACTGGGACCTTGGTTCCACCCTCAGCACTGACCAAAACAAAAAGTAAACAAACCAGACAAACATTTCTATTATTTACATGTCCTATAATTTGGGACCAGGAACTTATGCGTTCCCTACCTCAGTCTACAAAAATTTGATGTTTCATTTTTGTTGTTTGTTCCCTAGTAGTGGGGCCTTAACTCAGGAGCCTAACATTCTCCCTGACTTTCTTGCTCACAGATGGTGATATACCACTTAGGCCATGCCTCTACTCTAGCTTTGTGCTGGTCCATGGCATCTTCCAGGCTGACTTCAAACACTGATCCTTCAGATCTCTGCCTCCTGATTAGCTAGGATTACAGGTGTGAGCCCTTAGTGCCTCCTCGGTCATCTTTCTTTCCTTTTTGGTCTTGTTTCGGAGGCACTGATTGGAATTTGAACTCAGGACCTAGGTACAAAGGCAGGTTAAAATGTAAGCCACTTAACCCATCCCTTTTTGTTTGGGGCTATTTTTCAGATAGATTCTCACTCTTTGCTTGGATGGGCCTGAGACTGCAATCCTCTTTCACTGTTAGGAACAGACATGTATGACCACACCTAGTTGGTTGGTTGAGATGGGGGCCTCATTAACTTTTTGCCTGGTCTGGCCTTGAACTGTGATCCTCCCAGTTTCTGCCTCCTACCTAGCAGGGATCACAGATGTAATGATGATAGCCATTACTGTTTCCACATTGCCAGGGCCAAAGATCAGACCCATGCTGGTGCGCACAGCCCTAGGGTAGATTGTGTGGGGGCAAATTGTTGATCAGAGACTAGCCACAGCTCACCTTGTGCTGGCAAAACACTGCTCTTCGCTCATCCCTTCCCAAGTGACTAATGTCTGTTGCTGGTTGGTGAAAGCCCTGAAGGGGTTTTCCTCCCTGCCAATCGGCTAAACATACTTGATAATTGTTTTGTATGTTTATTAGATAATGAGAGAATTCTCCAACAACAAGTATGTCCTTTGCCCATCTTTTTTTTGTTTTTGTTTTTGTTTTTGGTCGCAGGGCTTGAACTGTGGGCCTGGGCGCTATCCCTCAGCTCTTCCGCTCAAGCCAGCCACTCTACCACTTGAGTCACACCTCTACTTCTGGCTTTTTGGTGGTTAATTGAAGAGTCTCACAGAACTTTCCTGCCCAAACTGGCTTCGAACTGTGATCCTCGGATCTCAGCCTCCTGAGCAGCTTGGATTACAGGCATGAGCCACTTATGCCGGGCTTTCTAGACCCGCTCTGACACTTCTTCATTTTGCTGAATCCTCCCAGGATCCTAGGTAAGGACAAAGATTTCGGCTGTGACTGACCCAGGCTTCCTCTGCAGAGCCTGGCCAGGGCCAGTGCGCCCCACCGGCGCCGGCGTCCCCCACCTGGGGCCAGCACCCCGCACCCCCGGCCCGTGCGCCCCGGGCCCGGTGTGTCCAGCGGGACCAGCGCACCCCACAACCTGGGACCAGCGCGCCCCACCTGGGGCCAGCGTGCACGCGTATGAGCGTGTCGGTGAGCGCCAGGCCAGTCCCCGCCCTACCTCCCAGGTCCAGCTGGGGGCGATTCAGAGTCTGGAGTCAGCCGCACCCTGGAGCCCTTCGAGCCCTGCGGATCGCGGAGCGCTCGGCCCAGCCCGGAGGCCCGCCCTGCAGCGCGTCCTCACCGGCAGTTCCAGAGGCTGGCGCCAGGGGGCGCAGCGGACCAGCGCCGGCACCTGCTGGGAGGGCGGCTGGGGCTCCCAAGGCCTGGGGCTTGGGGTGGGGCCGGGAGTGGGGCCGGACAGGACCCTGCACGACCCCTACATGACCCCTAACCCGGGCAATTAGACCACGATTGTGAATCACAGCCTTTACCGCTGACCTCGTGCTGTGTTCCTAGGGAGGCTTGCACACCATTCCTCCTCCCATCTAATTTCCCCAATTTTTAGATCCTTCGTGTTTTTGTGTTTATATGTATTTACTCATTCATTAATTCTTTCTGTCTCTAACCTTTACTACTCAGAAGGCTGAGATCTGAGTATAGCAGATCAAAGGCAGCCCCGGCAGGCTAGTCTGTGAGACTCTTATCTCCAATAAACCACCAAAAAAAGCCAGGAGTGGAGCTGTGGCTCAAGTGGTAGAGCACTAGCCTTGAGCAAAATGAGCTCAGGGACAGTGCCAAAGCCCTGAGTTCAAGCCCGGCACAAAAAACATTTGTTAATTCTTTATCATATTTTTGTTTATTATTTTCTGTGACAAAACTGGGGCTTGAACTCAAGATCTGGGTGCTATCCTTACCTTTTTTCTGCAGGCTGGCTCTCCACCACTTGAGCCACACCTTCAC